GTTTATATTACATAAAGTTTATATGGCAGACATTCAAAGGTTCCTTAGTAGACAATAGGGTAGAAGCTTAACACTACTTGCAAAGCTTAACAGTGTAATAATAGATTTCTAAGTACTAAATTCTGGAGATGTTTTTCTTCTAAGTTATGTATATCTTGGTAATATTAGCCAATTAACACAAAGTTGCAGTTTGTGCGATGCACATTGCTTTGGCTGTGTTAGCTGATAGCTGCTGCTTATAGCGCAAAAGCTTGCACTTTTTCTGTAAAGGGGAATTGGAACTGCACTGTGTGTATAGACCTGAGGAAATAAAGATGTGCAGGAATTGTCTAACTAGAAAATAACAAGTTACATACATTTTATGTATTCAGTTAAAGTATTTAATGCACTGTTTATTAAATTTAGAAATTTGATTCCTTATTTTACAAACAATAATGCGGTATAATTTTGTTGGACCATAGATTATTTTTTATACGTAATGTATAATAGATCTAACATAGCGGGGGTGGGGGCAGTTCTGCAGTGCAGTGTGGTCTGGTCAGTTAGCAGTCACATAATGCTAGACAGGGGATGGGTGGGATCACTAGGGACTTTGAAGCTTTGGGCAAGAAACTCAGCGACCTAAAGACCTAAGAGGCCCTTTCTTCTATCTTGCCTGACCAGGGATTTGGGCAAGCCAGGGAATGTGGGTTTCAGAGGAGAACAACTGACTCAGGGTGTGGTGTCAGAAGGAGTGTTTCAAGTTCCTTGACCACAGCACCCAGTTTCTTTCCAGTGGACCTTTGGCAAGGGATGGGGTGCACCTCATGAGGATGGGGAAAAGGTCCTTCAGAAATACTCCAGTGTGCTTTGTCCAGAAGGCTTTAAACGGGGAGGGGGGAATCAGGCCCCCAAGAAACTTGTCCTGATTGGACAAGTTACGGGAGAGGACTAGGGTGTTAGAGGTAATGCAGGGACTGACAGGACTCCAACAAAGAGGGTGCCAGTATCGGGGAAGGAGAAAGCCAGGGGACCAAAAGAAAGGGATCTGTGGGAAGGAGCTGAGATGCATGTACACCAATTCTAGGAGCATGGGTAATAAGCAGGAAGAGCTTGAGGTTCTCCTGGGAATAGGAGGGTATGACCTGGTAGGGATCACAGAAACATGGTGGGATGAAAGGAAAGACTGGTATGTAAACATAGAGGGATATGTCCTGTTTAGAAAGGACAGGAAGTGAAAGAAGGGAGGGGGGCATAGCATTATATGTCAGGGAAGGGATAGGATGCAATGAGACACAAGTTGGTGTAAATGGGGATTTGGTAGAGGTGGTCTGGGTGAAACGGAAGGGTTTCAACAGGGGGAGGGACCTGACAGTGGGGATATGTTATCGCCCTCCAAGTCAACTTGAGACCCTGAATGATGCCCTGACAGTCCAGATTGACAGGATATCTCAGGTGAGGGACACAGTAATTATGAGAGATTTCAATCTTCCAGATACTAGTTGGGAGACTCACTTGGTGGCAACAGCCAGGTCACGTCACTTCCTAGACACTACAGAGGGAGAGTTTTTTATGCAAAAGTTCTGGAAGGTGATGAGAAGGAGAAATATCCTTGACTTGGTCTTGAACAACAGGGAGGAGCTGATAGATGGGGTGCAGATTAGAGTAGCTCTGGATGCAAAGCTCTCTTTCCTTTGCTTTGAGATCAGGAGAATGTGGACAAGCGGCAGGTTGAGTACTAGAAGCTGGGACTTCACAAGGGCCAACTTTGGTCAATTGAAAGCAAGACTGGGAGAAGTCTCCTGTGAGAAGATACTGGAAGGTGAGGGAGTTCAGAAGGGGTGGATGGCACTTAAAAGGGAGCTCTAGCCTTGGCAATAGCACTACTTAGCAAGGTGGGGAGATGACGGAGAGCACTGCCATGGATGAAAAAAGAGGCTGTAAGAGGGATTAGATGTAAGAGGAACCTTTCTAGGAAATGGGCACTGGGGCAAGTAGACAAAAGGGTTTACCGGGAGAAGGAGGCCCGTTGCAGAAGGATTCCTTGCAAGACTAAGGTTGATTATGAGAGGAGACTTGCAAAGAATATCAAGAACTACAAAAAGGGCTTCTATCAACATGAAATTGCAAGAGGAAGGGAAGACAGGTGATGGGACTGCTTAATAAAGGAGAAGGGAATTCGGTGACTGATGTGAGGGAACAGCACAGATGCTGAATGATTATTTTGCCTCTGTGTTCTCTCCAAAGTAGGTGGGGGAGAACTACATGGGGGACTGGATGAGGCTGGGGATTTAGATGCACAGATTAGAGTCACCCCCCTATGTCGAGGAGCTCCTCAGGGCACTGGGTGTTACAATGGCGCTGGGCCCTGATGGGTTGTACCCAATGGTACTTGGCAGAGGTCCTTTTGTGCCTGTTGGCCTCCACTTTTGAGGCATCATGGAGAATGGGTGAGGTCCCAGAGGACTGGAGAGTGGTGTCAGTGGTCCCAATTTTCAGAAAGAGTAGTACAGGGAACATGAAGAATTACAGGCCAGTTAGCCTTACATCCATTCTAGGAGAGACAATGGAAAGTAATCCTAGATAGGGAAGGGAGGTTGGTGGCCATGCAACGTAGCTTCCGTAAAAGCAGATCTTGCCAGACAAACCTCATGGAATTCTATGACAAAGTTTCAGGGTGGCTAGATGGAGGGGATGTGGTGGATGTGGTTTGCCTGGATTTCAGCAAGGCCTTTGGCAAAGTGCCTGGTTGAGAAACTGAGTTTTGGGATAGACCATTGCACTGTCCAATGGTTGACAGGCCAAAAGTAGAGGGTAACTATTAGTGAAGAGTCATCAAGATGGCAGCCAGTGACAAACAGGGTCCCCCAGGGCTCTGTCCTCAGACTGATCCTGTTCAATCTTTTCATCAATGACCTGGAAGAGGGGATGACCATTCTGCTGATCAAATTCACAGACAATATGAAAATGGGAACAGTGGCCACAACTGAGGAGCAGGTACTGTGGATCCAGAAGGATCTAGACAGACTATGGAAATGGGTGTGGGACAACAGCATGGCGTTCAATGTGGATAAGTGCAAGATTTTGCACTTGAGGCATAGGAATGGGTGTCATAAGTACAGGTTAGGGGACAAGTGCTGGAGAGCAGCACTTGTGAAAGGGATCTTGGGCTACTGGTTTACTGCAGGCTAAAGATAAGTCAGCAGTGAGATGCAGTGGTCAAGAGGGTGAATGCCACCCTTGGATGCATATCCAGAACTGTGGTTTCTTGATCGAGAGCGGTATTACCGCCACTCTATACCACTCTGGTGCGCCCACAACTGGAGTATTGTTTTCAGTTCTGGACTCCAAATTACAGGAAGGTTGGAATTGATGCAGCATAGGGCCACAAGGTATGGTGGCTGGATTGCAGGGGAAGCTGTATGAGGCAAGACTGAGAGAACTGGGGCTTTTCAGCCTGGAGAAGAGCAGACTCTGAAGGGATCTGTTGGTAGCATATAGGAACATGAGGGGGTGTCACATGGAGGTGGGTAGAGACCTGTTTTCCTCTGGAGGAGAGCAGGACACGTTCCAATGGAGCAAAACTCAATTTGGATGCTAGGAAATACTTCCTGACAGTTAGGACCCCAAGGGTATGGAATGGGCTTCCATGATTGAAGCCCCATTGGTGAAGGAGTTTAAGGATAGGCTGGACATGCACATGGTAGACATGTCATAAGTGGAGCCGGCTGGAGCTGGGGGGTCAGACTAAATGGCCCGAGAGGCCCTTTCTGCCTCACTCTATGTTTCTAACTTACATGTCATTATCTGGAAATCAGTTGTTTTGATTTTGAGGCCTACCTCTTTTCTTGAAAAATAATCTGCATATGATCAAAGAGAACTGAACCTCAAGACCTGTAATAGAAATGACTTAATATGGAATACATTAGTGCAAGAGCAGGATAGCATCCTAATCTAGGTTATTATTTCTGTATTTACAATATTTATGTACAGATAGACATCTAAGCAGCTCCCAGAGCAGTGAATAATAAAAGGTAAAAGGAATACAATACAATATTAAAAGTTACTTTAAAACAGAGTACAATTAAAAAACATGACTGGTCAGTTGAGGAGTCTTGTTGAAATAAAAATGCCTTCATTGCAGTGCTGGAAACAAAACAGTGGCGGTGCTTGCCTGACAACTAGAATCAGGGAATTCCATAGAGAAGGACTTAGCATACTGAAGGTTCTACTACGGGTAAATTCTAATCAAGCCATAGAGCCATGCAAAATCACCAGAAGTTCCTCAGCTGATGACCTCAAGTGACAGGGCAAGTTGATAAGAGAGAATGTGGTGTCTCCATTATCCTGGTCCTAGGTTATGAAGGGTTTTATATACTAGTAACAAAATCTTAAACCTGACCCAGTAGCCAATAAGCAGTGCAGATTCCCTTCGCAAAGGTGTAACCTGCTTCATTCTGTAATAGCTAACAGCTTCCAGACTAGCTTTAAGGGTAGCCACACATTTGAATTATCTAGCCTTGTGTTACAAATTCATGCACCAAGTTGCAGGAACTGTGCATTAATTGTTCACCAGCACTACAAGTAAACAAACCAGTGTAAAACTAAGGTAGCAATATTTATTCATAGCCAAAATTGAAAGAAATAGGTGCATGCTTCAGTTAAGCTATACATGACTGTTGTGGCTTAAGCAACTGGAAGTACGTATTTAATATTTCTCTCACCAGCATCAACGTGCTTTACAATATAACTGCTGCACAAGGCACAAATAATAGCATTCTTTATAGAACAAAACTAATCTTCTTAAGAATCAGGGTTACAGGTTTGCATTAAAAATATGTGTCATATAAACCCCTGAACAATTTTAGTGTTTAGATATGTATTTAATGATTATAGATTATGTTTAATTTAATTTTAATTTTCCTACTTGCAAGTGTTGCGTGTGTGTTGTGTGTGTCTGTCTGCATGTGTGTAACTTGTTATATTTCTGCTTGAAATATTCTGTTTTTCCTTATGCATAGGCAATCCATTCTGTAGCTTGGCATCATGAAGGCAAGCAATTTATTTGTAGCCATTCAGATGGAACCTTGACTATATGGAATGTAAGGAACCCTACAAAGCCATTGCAGACAATCACTCCACATGGTAAGTTCAAAATAGTCATAATACAGTCTATACACAGTTCAGCTGAAACTTAGTTGCCATCTTCCAGTTGCTGCAAATCAAACATATTCAAGAAACAGCTGCGTGCGGCTGTGGCATGAGCTAGAGTTCCTTCCTTCGCATATTCAAAGACACAGACCTTTCTTGCAAAATATTCTTCACTGATCAAAAGTGTTTGCCAGAAGCATAAACACCAAGAAGGAATCTCTGAGCATGCACAGAGCAGCTTGTTGAACCCAATCTAGTATTTAATTCTAGGAACTCTCCTTATGGGTACATTTGGGCTCCACTCTTTCTGGAGAGGCCTTTTGGAAACTAGCATGGTTGAGAGCTGTATTTTCCTTGTCTGTATCTGGGAAACACCTTTGTTCCAGGCCCCCTCCTGTACATATTGGTTATTCTCAAAGACTACCTGCATACCTGGAGAGTCTGGCCTTGTGATAAGCATCTCCTCTATCTCAATGACTGAAAGCGGCCTGCGTTCCAAGGCTCCCTATTGCTCTTCCTTCTCTGAATTCCAGCCAGGAGGCCTTGACAATGCATGGCAAAAGCAGTTATCTTTCTCACATCCAACAGGGTGGGTTCAAAAGTACCAAGTCTTGTTATTACAGACCTGGAGAATATTAAGCTAATGCTGGAAATGGAGAAATGAGAGAGAGGTGGAAGAAGAGACATAGTTAAACTGACAAAAACTCACTTTTTTTCACATTCTAAATATAGGCACTGTAGTACATTTAAAGTAAATTGAGCAGGAAAAATTGAGGCTCCATTGCTGTTCATCTTTAAACTTCCTACCACCATGAAAATGAACTTATAATATAAACATTAGTCTAAAATAATCCTACCATATTAGCTTTCTCTATCTACAAAAAGATTTCTCCAGTGGAATGTTTCCGGAATTGTGTTCTGCTATAATCACGAAGTACATAGATTTTGCTTGGCTTGCACTGGATTCTGTACTTCTAAGATGGCTTTACCTTTTCAGATATGAAAGCTGTCTTCACAATTAATCTGTGAGTCATGGTGTTCACCGTTTATATAAAATAAGTAACTGTGAAAAGTAACTATCATATTTCAGTTAATTATAACTGTATTTATACATTGAGGAAGAGTCTTTGTAAAATGGTAAACCCAGTTTCTCTTTTAAACAGAAAAAACACAACATGTTAATACCCTTTATAATTAGAGATGCATACAATGCAGGGGGACAAGTTATTTATTCTTCCATTTTCCAATTCAGTCCTATGTATATTTACATCGGAGAAAACCCCACTGAGTTTAATAGATTGAGATTTGTTTCCAGGTAAGAGCTTATAAATCAAAGCAAGCCAGAACTTTCCCTGGAAGTAAAAATGACAAAACTTAAGCTGTCATACTTCAAGCACATCATGAGAAGTCAAAACTTGTTCAAAAAGAAAACCATGCTGAGGATAGACAAAGGCAGAAGAGGAAGACCAAATATGAGATGGACTGATTCCATTAAGGATTTCCAAGAGCTGATCAAGATTGTGAAGAACATTTTGGGAGAGTATTCATTCATGGAGTCATCAGAAGTCAGAGATAACTTGATGCCACATAATGAAAGAGTTTATATGATTATTCTTCGTGGTCCCTGTGCATCACATGTGTGGAGCTGTTCCAGGAAGATTCCAAAGCTGATTCATTGTTATTAGAGGGGAGGCCAGCCCATGGATGCACCTAGTGTGAAGGCAGGGCTTTCACCAAGATCTCACTTCTTCTTTGACCACCACCATGAGCACATCAGTGAGTTCCTTGTCCACTTAACTCACAAAGTTGTTTGTCTCTCGACTACCCTTCAGATTCCTGTCTTCTCAGTTCTTTTCGCATCACTTACCTCCTCTTGTTATTCTTACCTCCTTCTTCCCTCTTACTTTCACTTTTGTTGAATAGACAAAATGGCGCTCAAAGTTATTGTCACACACTGCAGAATTCCAGAATGGGAACTCCCTCCTACAAAAGGCCACTGCTTTTTTTTTTGCCTGGGGAAAATTCATGTTGTCGACACCTGCTACCATTGCCAGACTTTCACCAAACAGGCAAGAAAACATTGGACTTTGCTTAAAAACCAAATTGTGGAGCCACACCCTCCATGCAGAGGATGCCCAGTCATCCACCTCAGGTGCTTCTATTACTTCTAATGCAGATGAAAACTTAGATCCTCCCCCATCCTCCCAAAAGTATCCAAGATGGGGAAGTAAAAAAAAAAAGTGGGCAAAAAGAGCAAGGCTCCAAAATTGTTCCCCCTTTCTAAGGAGTAGGAGAGCAGTAAATGTACTCAGAAATACTCAGACATTCCTCCTATTACTGGCCCCCTGTGTATTGAAGACATGGTGTCAACACGAGATCCAGGGCATTGTTCTGCCCTGTTACTGAAACTGATACATGAACCTCAGCTTCTGCAAAGTACTCAAGTCTCAGAAAGTGATATTTGTGATCCATCGCCAGCAATAATACCGTGGCCAGACCTAGTCTGAACACAGAGATACATCTCCCCTGTACCTTCCATGCCAAACTTTTTTCTCCATACCAAGCAAGATAGACACTGCTACTGCTCTCAATCTCCAGTGTCTGACAAAGACCTCAAAACCTGTCAAACACCACTTCCGTATCACAGGGATTTCAATATGGGGTACTGTAGAGAGTGCTGGGGTTCAGTCAACTCCAGTCATGGAAGACTTCCTAGGAGCCCAGCCAGATTCGATTGATATTTTGCCTGGGCCAATCTTAGTTTTACTGTTTAACCTTCTGGTCTTCCTAAGATTTCTAGACAAACAGCTCCACCATGTTACACATTGTCTTGCTGTAGCTTGCCTAGCCATAACTCAGACTTACTTGAGCATACTCATTCCTAACGTGGACACTATACTTCCATCTTGGCTACATCCTCAAAAAAGATGGAGGCCTTTGCCTGATCCTCAATTTTAAGGGCCCTCAAATCAATACATTAAGCCTAAATTTTTCAGAATGGTTTCTCTCTACCCCATTCTCCAACTGCTCTGTGAAGGCATTTGGTTAACGTTCATAGACCTTAAGGATGCTTATTTTCATAATTCAGTCAAGTAGTCTCACAGGCATTTCCTCCATTTTCAGGTGAATGACAAACATTTCCAATTCACCATCCTCCCTTTTGACCTGGCAACTGCTCTCCATGTGTTCATGAAATACTTGACTGTTGTTTGTGCCTACCTTCATCCCAAATGGGGTCCATGTATACCCCTATCTAGATGACTGACTATAGTATAGTTCCTTGCAGAGAAGATTCTTTACTAACTACTAATTTCACATGTTTTCTATTTAGACAACTTGGTCTCTACATTAATTTGACTAAATTTTCTTTCTCTTACAAAGTCAATTCACTTTGTCAGAGCTCGACTTGATTCCACCTCTGCGAAGGACTTTTCATCTCAGGACAGACTATCTACTCTGACCAAAGAGGACACTTCCCTTATCAATACTCATTTGGTGACCACCACAACAATCCAGTAGTGCTTTCTAAACCTAATGTCCTCATCAGTTCCAGTTGTTCCTCTTGCTCAACTGCATATGAGACCTCTCCAACCCTGGTTTCTAGAATTGTTCAATACCAGGACCAAACCTCATTCCACCAGGCTGCACATCCCTCATTTTGCACCTCTCTCTGTTGGTGGACAGACAAGAGCAACACCTCCATTGGGGTCCCATTCTCCCCACAAGACTCCCATCTTACGATAAGCACAGATGCCTCCCTTCTCACTTGGGGAACCCAGTGTGGTCATTCTATCATCCTACCACTTTCTTTCAGAGTCTTTTCAACCCCATAGAACTGGCTCTTCATTCTTGAGATATCTGTAGGGCATTTGATTACTACAAATCCAGGACTCATCCAACAATTACAGAGACTTTTCATAGTGTATGGTGGCCCACACCATGGAATGTCTGTCTCCTCCTAGAGCAGGTCCTCAAACTTTTCCACCAGGGGCCCAGTTGAAAGCTGCCGGTGCTGGGTGCGGGCCGGAAAGGTGGCGCCGGCGGTGTGTGCGGGCCAGAGTGGGGGCTGCGCATGCGGGCAAGCCGATGAGGGGGGCGGTGGGGCATACGGCAAGACAAGGTGAGGCAAGGCGTGGTGGGCATGTGCGCCTGGCGAGGGGAGGCGAGGCGCAGGTGGGGGCGGACACATGCTGTAAGGCGCACGCATGAGACTGCGGCTTGCTTGCTTGGAGATCATTTTCTCCGAGCGAGCAAACTGCTGCATCCCTGCACGCGGGGCGAGGTGGGCGGCGGCGTGCATGCACGGCGGGTCCAAATGGGCATGGCGGGCCGGATCTGGCCCCCGGGCCTTAGTTTGAGGACCCATGTCCTAGAGGCTCTCTAAATGCATAGTCCATACTCTGTCTCTGGCCTATGCACTCTTTGGTCTCCAAATCTCAGGCTTCATTAGAGCACATTCTACCAGAACTGCTTTGACCTCCACAGCCTTGTACACAGGAGTGTCTCTCACCAACCTCTGTAGCATGGTAACATGGTCAAATCCTTCAACCTTCATTCACCATTATTGTCTCATTGTTCAAGCGAGAGAGAACTGTACCTTCAATAGAACTGTCCTGTCCTGTCCTCCCTACTCTGTTGAGCAACACCACCCTCCTCCATGAGGTAAGATTGCTAGTCACCCACATGTATGATATACAGAGACCACAAAGAATAAAGGCAGGTTTTCTTACCTGTAACTGTCTTTCTTCAAGTGGTCATCTGTGCATTCATACATACCCACGCCTTTTCCACTGGTGTTGTGTACATACAGTATATCACAGAAGTGAGTACACCCCTCACATTTTGTAAATATTATATCTTTTCATGTGACAACCCTGAAGAAATGACACTTTGCTACAATGTAAAGTAGTGAGTATACAGCTTGTATAACAGTGTAAATTTGCTGTCCCCTCAAAATAACACACAGCCATTAATGTCTAAACCGCTGGCAACAAAAGTGAGTACACCCCTAAGTGAAACTGTCCAAATTGGGCCCAAAGTGTCAATATTTTGTGTGGCCACCATTATTTTCCAGCACTGCCTTAACCCTCTTGGGCATGGAGTTCACCAGAGCTTCACAGGTTGCCGCTGGAGTCCTCTTTCACTCCTCCATGATGACATCACAGAGCTGGTGGATGTTAGAGACCTTGTGCTCCTCCACCTTCTGTTTCAGGATGCCCCACAGATGCTCGATAGAGTTTAGGTCTGGAGAAATGCGTGGCCAGTCCATCACCTTTACCCTCAGCTTCTTTAGCAAGGCAGTGGTCGTCTTGGAGGTATGTTTGGGGTCGTTATCATGTTGGAATACTGCCCTGCAGCCCAGTCTCTGAAGGGAGAGGATCATGCTCTACTTCAGTATGTCACAGTACATGTTGGCATTCATGGTTCCCTCAACGAACTGTAGCTCCCCAGTGCCGGCAGCACTCATGCAGCCCCAGACCATGACACTCCCACCACCATGCTTGACTGTAGGCAAGACACACTTGTCTTTGTACTCCTCACTTGTCTTTGTACTCCTCACCTGGTTGTCACCACACACGCTTGACACCATCTAAACCAAATAAGTTTATCTTGGTCTCATCAGACCACAGGACATGGTTCTACTAATCCATGTCCTTAGTCTGCTTGTCTTCAGCAAACTGTTTGAGGGCTTTCTTGTGCAGCATCTTCAGAAGAGGCTTCCTTTTGGGACGACAGCCCTGCAGACCAATTTGATGCAGTGTGCAGTGTATGGTCTGAGCACTGACAGGCTGACCCACCACCCCTTCAACCTCTGCAGCAATGCTGGCAGCACTCATTTGTCTATTTCTCAAAGCCAACCTCTGGATATGACACTGAGCACATGCACTCAACTTCTTTGGTCGACCATGGCGAGGCCTGTTCTGAGTGGAACCTGTCCTGTTAAAGTGCTGTATGGTCTTGGCCACCATGCTGCAGCTCAGTTTCAGGGTCTTGGCAATCTTCTTATAGCCTAGGCCATCTTTATGTAGAGCAACAATTCTTTTTTTCAGATCCTCAGAGAGTTCTTTGCCATGAGGTGTCATGTTGAACTTCCAGTGACCGGTATGAGAGAATGAGAGCAATAACACCAAATTTAACACATCTGCTCCCCATTCACACCTGAAACCTTGTAACACTAACGAGTTACATGACACCAGGGAGGGAAAATGGCTAATAATGCCCAATTTGGACAGTTTCACTTAGGGGTGTACTCACTTTTGTTGCCAGCGGTTTAGAAGTTAATGGCTGTGTGTTGAGTTATTTTGAGGGGACAGCAAATTTACACTGTTAACGCAAGCTGTATATTCACTACTTTACATTGTAGCAAAGTGTCATTTCTTCAGGGTTGTCACATGAAATGATAAAATATTTACAAAATGTGAGGAGTGCACTCACTTCTGTGATATAATGTATTTCTGACACAGCATTGACACATCTCCTGTCCAAATGTTCATTTATGTGGAGGTCTCATTCTCACAACTGAAATCTCGGCAGGAGCCCTGCCTACATGCTAGGCATGCCTATTGGCCAGCTTCGTGCCAAATAATAATTAATCTGCTTTGGAATCTTCCCAAAACAGTGCCATGCATTTGTGCAGAGCCCACATGTGTGAATGCACACATGACAACTCGAAGAACAACAGTTACATGTAAGAAAACCTGCCTTTTCTGGAGATCATTCAAGACAAATATTAAAGATCATATCAACATAGTTAACTTACTTGACTTAAATATCCAAGAACTATATTAGTAACATAATATATTATTCATGTAACTTTTCTAATATCTGGCAACATTCTAAGATTTTGATGTTGGTTTTAAGTTTTTGACACTTTTCAAGTTAATTTTAAATGTAATTAAGAAAATATTTTGTTTTAGGAAAGCAGGTTAAAGATGGAAAGAAGCCAGAGCCTTGTAAACCTATTCTTAAAGTGGAATATAAAACTACCAGAGCTGGGTAAGAACTAAGAAACAACAATCTAATTCTGTTTACATATTTATACTGAATAAACATGGAGGGTGCAATTCAGAGTTCTCATGAGCAGAATTCCAGTCACAGGATATTCCTTCAGAAGAGGGAATGCAGGCAATATTTTTTTATTTTCTTATTTCTTGTATGTTTCAAGTACTCCTTTTCATGCTGAAGAGATACTTCCCTCTAGAGCAGCTTTTTTTTGGGGGGGGGGCATAGGGACTACAATGCAAGGAGGAATGGCCTCCCCTGTCCTCTATTGGATCTGAGACCCTGCCAAAAATGGAAAGTTGTATGCAACCAAGTCAGTCTTTGTAAAAGAAAAAGATCTGAAGTACTTCTGAGGTTTTTAAATGTGGTAAAGTCAGTTTATGTATTAATGAACTCTTTTCTTCTGTGATGTCAGAAATAGAGTGGAAAATACTTTTTCTCAGGTTTGCAAAAAATTATATTTTATTAAAGAGGAAGGGAAAGCCCAGAAGCTCAGACACCAATCTTTTAGTACCAGCTAAAGGTGGGAGCAGCAAGCACAATGGAGATTTTTGCCTGGTCATAACTGTGACTGAGAACCTCTAGTAGGAAGAGTAGTAGCAGTTTTGTATCCTACTGTTTGCTTCCTGTGGGTGGGCGGCCACTGTGTAGAATGTTGGACTAAATAGGCCTTGGATACAGCACAAAATTATGGGGAGACATGCATTCGCTCTCTCTTTTTCTGTGCACACATGGGTGTTTGTGTCTACGCGTTTAAAAGAATGAGACAGAGGTTTGCAACATTGCCCTTACAGGATTTAAGTATCCAGGAATAAAGTGAATAATGTATTTAATGTTTGACATATGTTACTAATGGATGTGTATGCATTTTTATATAACTCATAAGGCATGTAGAAACACCTACCTCCCATACAGTGCCGTTAAAATTGAGGTTTTGGTTGTGGCTCAGTAATTTAAAATGCATAAGAATGTTTTGCTGTGATCCCTATTTGTAGGTGGTTTTTATCTAAAAAAATACAGGCTAGCCAAAGAAAAATACCTTTAAGTGGTGCTTGGTTAAGTATGTGCTTAAATATCTTCCATTGAGTTGATTAATTTAATAGTTGGCATAAAATATTTTAAAGTGTGTAGCTCTGGATGGATAATGCCATAAATGAATAAAATGATTTATAACCCCCCCCCCGCTTTGCTTCCCACTAGCCGTCCTTCATTTTATGTTTCTGCTTGATACCAGTAATTGTGCCTTCAGAATGAAGTGCATAACTAGCACTTCTCATAACTACTTTATTTTAAAGTAATGCACATGCAAACTACATTATTTCAACTAACAGAACATTTTCAGATTGAAATGTATAAATGTTTGTATCCAGAATTTTCTGTCCACAAGTAGAAGGGTTCATGCCATTTCTGGAGGGAACTGGGACAGAAAATGAAGGGTAGTGATTTTCACTGATTCCACCTTCCTCTGCAGCTTCAAGAAACTGCTCCATTATCAGATTTTTAAATCAGCTTTTCGGGGACTGGGAAGAGGAGGAATTAGTAGAAAACACTGCTCTAGATATGGGTGCAAACCCAGATCTAACCCACCAGCTGCACAAGCCAAGAGATTTTACATAGATGACGAGTTCTCATCTTTGCCTGCCATCACTCAATTGCCTTCTACTCCATGACCATATGAGGCTAATATAACAGAGTTATTTGAAAATGTCATGGTTTGAAAAATGAATAAATTGCATTGATAATATTGCATACATTGGAATATTGGCATAAAAATGTGTATGTATGTATTTATTTAGAAAGCTTCTATGCCGCCCCATTCGCCGAAGCCTCGGGGCGGCTCATAACACAAAAATAGAATGTTTTAGGCCCAAAGCATGAAGAGGTGGGAATAGGAAGAATAAAGAAACAAAGGTGACATGGGCCAGTTAAAGAAAAATGCACTGAGGCATTTGCTTTTTTGTGTATAGCTATTGGAACCCAAAGAGGACTGGAAAGTAAAGAGGCAAATCATCAAGTTCTTCATCTCCCTTTTTATTATAGCTTATGTAGATGTTACATTGAGGAGATATACCTGTTATATATGAACGTGTAAAACCGCTAGAGTGTAAAAGCCATAATGTATGTTCCGCAAATGTTACATTATCTGAACATCCCAGTGCATGGTCTAGAGCAGTGATGGAAAACATTTTAGAGACTGAGTGCCCAAACTGCAACCCAAAACCCACTTCTTTATCACAAAGTGCCAACACTGCTATAAAACCTGAATACTGAGGTTTTAGTTTAGAAAAAACAACTCATACATTTGCATCTTTTGTCTTAAAAGAAAAACACAACAACAGCGATTTCAATGATGCAAGCGGCTTTTTATTGAAATACTTTTGCACAATTAATGTGATATTTGCTGCTGTATGCATGCTGATAATTTGTCAAACCTTGGCTCATACTTGGTTAGTTTGAGAGCAACACAAGCAGCACTCAGGTCATCTGTTAATCTGTTTCTTGTATCAGATTTGATATAATTCAAAGATGAAAACAGCTGCTCACAAGCATAAAATGATCCAAACAAAGTATGAAAAGCAATCCCAAGTGCTTTCATTGACTTAAAATCATTTGGCAGAGAATTCCACACTTTAAGGATTTCAATTTCAGAACTACCAACTGTGCTGTCCTTTGTCATCCCTTCACACTCTGTTTTCTCACATGTTGCATGCAGGTGATAGAATTTATTTTTCCAGATAGAGCTTTCTTGAAATTTCAATAGCTCCATTTCCAGTTTTTCTAAATGCATTTTTGATTTGAAAAATATTTTCGCTCCCCACTTTCAAGGTCTCTTTCAAAAATCTGCAGTTCAAAACATCTCCCAAATGTTTTGATATCACAAAACATCTCTTCTGCTGTTTTCCCTACATCTTGTAGTTTTTTGTTCAGTATATGAAGCGAGTGTACTGTTCAAGAACAGTACATGAACTACACTACAAGTGTAGTGTAAAATCTGTAAAAAACATGAGGTTGTTAAGCCAGGTCATATCAGTGAGCTGTGGATATTCCTGCCCTTTTTCATTCATAAACAGCCTAATTTCATCTATGCAGGCTACAAAACTCTCCAGGACTCGTCCTCTGCTCAGCCACTGGACATTATTGTACACAAGTAAAGTATTATACTGTGCCTGAACTTCATCAAGAAGTTTTTGAAACTGTTGAAAATTAAGAGCACGAGCCATGATGTAATTCACTATTTTTGTGACATCTTTGAGGATATTGTCTATTTTTTTGCTGCTTTCCCTGGCACAAAGAGCTTCTTGATGTATAATACAATGGATTTATTATGCATCCATGGATGTTTTGCTTCTTTAACAAAGAACGTTATGAAACCAGATGTTGTCCCCACCATGCAAGGTGCCCCGTCCCTAGTAATTGAAACCACTTTTTCTGGTCCTATGTCTTGTGACAAAAAAGCCTCCATCACAGCATTATAGATATCTATCCCTTGTGTTCTTCCAGGCAAAGACATCAGTTTCACCAGTTCTTCTCTCATGATGTCACCAACAGCATAACGCAAAATTACTGCTAGCCTTGCATGGTTATTTATATCTGTGCTTTCATCCAAGCACATGGAGTAATAGGCTGCCTTTTGTAAGTTAGTGGTGAGCTTCTGACTAACATCACTTGCCATGCGCAGGACTCGATCTTTACCAGTATTTCTGCTAAGTGGAATCTCAGAGATGCATTGCATAATTTTATCCTTGTTTGGGAAATCATGAAAAAGGGAGTTACTCCCAGACACCATGGCCATTTTGATAATATCCCCATCAGAGAGGGTCTTACCATGTTTTGCTATGCACAGTGAAATTTGAAAGCTGGCAGCTGTCAGATGATTTGTTTTAGAAGGATAGTTGCTAAAACTACAATACTGGGAATGCTATTTCCTCAATTTCCCTTCAAGAAACTCTTTCCTTTAAGTTGCATCAAGTTCAGCAACACTTTTGTGGTTGGTGTCAAAGTGCTGTCTGACACTTGATGTGTGACACACAACACAGAATACATAATGCTTTCCCATTGCGTTCAGTCACTCCAAATGACTTTGTCCAGTCCTCTTGGAATGATCTTCCACTATCTGTTTTCAGTTTTGCTTTTTTTGCTGTAGTCATTTTTTGGGTTCAAGACTTGGAGTCTACAAAAACACGAAATTAAAAAAAAAAAGTGAAGCCCCCAATACAAATCTATCCCTATACTAAAAATAGCTAACACTATTAGTTAACACTGAAGAATTGGATATTCCCTGAATTAACAATCTACGGCAGTGATTCTCAGCTGGGGTTCCTCTGGAATTTGGTGACCACCAGCACAAGGGGGCATTGTTCCACTGACCACCAGCTTTTGACCTGCTCTGAAAAAGGCATCAGAGTGTATTTCCTACCTTGTGGGGGCTTCTTCTAAAATCACAGCCAGTCCAAGCAAATCCCTGGCAGCACACTGACTGGCCATGCGAAAGCTTGGCGAGTTGTGGCTAATGAGCGATGTCGTTGCCTGGCACCATTACTCTTTCTGAATATGTGTATGGCTGCTGGGGTGATGCTGGGGCAACTTGGCTCATGTGCCAACAGAGAGGGCTCTGCATGCCCACTGCAGCATGCATGCCATAGGTTCACCATCACTGGTCTAGAGCTGTTAATGCCACTGGAGTGCTGAAGCTAAGTAGATATAGACCTGATCAGCCCTTTTGATGGGAGGCAAGTAGGACATAAGCTGAAAACTCTTTTAATCCCTCGGAATGAAATCCATTGGAGTATGGGACAATGGACAAAGCACTAAGTAGCTTCCATTTAACATGGAATTCAGATTTAATCTCACTTAAAGTAGACCCATTGAAATAATTGAAACATAAAAGCCATCATAACTAATATAGGTCCCACCAATTTTATCATCTTACCCTAAGTATGGTCAAATGTAGATCCAAATTATTTTGTCTTTCTTTTGCGTAATAGAATGCATAGTAAACCTTTAATAAACGTTGACTAGTTCACAAAATTAAAAACCAAGTAATACAATAAAAGCAATTGCCAATAAAGTAATGTAAGTACATAAATGATAAAATAACCATTACAATCATGAATTAAAAGTACTAAGTTATTGAGTAGCTGATAAAATATAGAATTCTTCAGTTGCTTCTGGAAAAACATTAGTGTGGGGCCTTGCAAGCCCTTTTAGGGAGATAATTCTGTAAACAAATTAACTTTTACATCTGTTTAGCTTCATATAGGCAAGAAGAGATCAAGCGTGGTGTGTATGTGTTGCCCTTTCCAGCAAATATTGCCTTGACTTAAATTTGCAGAAGAAGGGTAAAGTTGATGCTTGCTTGAATCAGCCACCAAATTTTGAGAAAAGCAAAAATTTAGGTTTGCATGCAGTGGCCAATAATGATCCCTGTCCCTATGTTGCTCTTTAATTTTAATAATAATAGTGGTATTTCATATGAATTCTACATGAACTTTAAAAGGAAATTTCTGTTTTGAATTAGAATAGTATTTGTACTTTAATATACTATTTGAAATACTGAATTTCTGTTACCTAATAGTTAAAAATCACAATTGACTGTTGCTCAGACCAGTGCATCATGGGGTAATTAATTTCATTAGGCATGCTAGTATTCCTGCAAAACAGGTGACTGTCTACATGTCATGCTGAGTGCTTGTTTGGTCTCTTGATCTTAAATAGTTTGATGAAAACAGAACCATCCTAATGCAAATGGTAATAATCTTAACTGTGTACTTATCTGTCTTTCCAGAGAACCTTTTATCATCTTGTCAGGTGGCTTATCATATGACACTGTGGGAAGACGACCCTGTTTAACAGTTATGCATGGAAAGAGCACTGCTGTTCTAGAAATGGATTATTCAATAGTTGATTTTCTAACCCTCTGTGAAACTCCATACCCTAATGGTAGGTTCTGAACAAATTCTTCTGACCTTTTTGACTTGATGATACAATTTCAGAATTAATTTCCTGCTTATATCACTTTAGGGGAAAACTAGGTCTGCTCAGTGTAGATGTGCTGACATGAAGCAGGCCATGGAGTCATATATATCCTTTTCCTACTTCCTTATCCGTGTGCGTTGACCTATATCTGACCTCTACCTCTTTCGGTATCATTTGTTGCCATCCTAAACCCAGTTGAAATTAAACTGGATAACTTACAAAATTCATGTAACCACTTGGCTTTAAGAACTCAGAGATCTTTGTCGTTTTGATCCATCATTCTGCCTTCATGAGCATTCTAGAACTATTTTGGTTGGAAGCCTTCCCTGTTGCTTCCTGTATATGACTTCCATTTGAAGTTTCTCTTCAACTGTTACCAAAGCATTTAGAACCATTTCCATTGTCTCATTTTCAGATATGATTGAAGTTTTTTTTCTTTCTATATACTTCATTCTGTTCTTTTGATAGCATTTCTTTTGTCTTCATATCTGCTCAACTTCAGGTCACAAGTAACAAGAGAGAGCTTTCTGAAGAATTTCACATACAGAAATTCTGCCATTACATTTTGAAAATTACAACATTGGCCTTTGGACTTTTCTGTGTAAATAGTGATAACCCTACATAATATATATTTAAATTCTTACTGCCCCAGAGCTTAAGCTCTCTGGTTGGTTTGCAACAATACATAAAAGCAAGATGATAAAATGCAATGCAAATACCATAAAATTAAAGCAGCATTAAAATTTCAAAACAGATAAAACATACAGTAAAGAATTGCCCCGTAAAAGAAAAACACCTGAAATTGGTAATCCTCTCAAGCTCCTGAGTAGAAGCCTAAAGCGCTGTCTTAACATGATGACAAAAAGATGACAGAGTTGGCACCAAGTGAGCCACAGTGGGGAAGTTGTTCCCTAGAGGGAGATCACCACAAAGTCCTTCCCCTTGTTGCCACCGTCCAAGCCTTCCTTAGAGTTGGCACTTGGAGGATAGGGACATAGCTCAACTACCAGCTGGAGCTGGTAGAAGGCACTATGCACCACTGAGGTCACCTAGGGCTTAAGTGACAAGGATGGATCAAGGAGAACTGCCCAAGCTGCAAACTTGCTGCTTCCAGGGAGTACAACTCCATCTAGAACAGGTTGAATACCATAAATCCATTCAGGGGAACCATTCACTAGCACCAGTTATGTCTGGATTGAGTTTCAGTTTGCTAGTCCTCATCCAGGCCATATAGCTATACCAGTCTAGCACATCTACAACCTTACCTGCTAATACTAATTTTATGTCAGTATATTCTTGAGCAATGTGCTTGAGAGGTTAAAAGCTAGCTTTTTGTATGAAGCAAGTCAGAGACAATTCAGTCTTGATTTTTGGCTTGGTTTTGGGAGCCAAATTGCTCTGATCACTGATCACCTAAATAGATAACTTTTGCCAGAAGAAAGACAGATGGTATCACCCTTTTAATTATCTTAGATCTCTTGTTATGGACTGCTTTTCTGAATTGGAGGATATAGATATTATGGTTGGTTTATACTTTCCTGAAGTATACATTCAAGAAAGTAGTTCTAGAAGTTTATTCTTTCTAATGGTTAGAGTTCTCCTACAGAGTGTTACATGATTGCTTTTAGTGTCTCATGCTGACACAAAACCACAGGTTATCTGGAGTCTTAGGGTGTGATATGATTACTAGACTAGTGTCTCCCCAGCTCAGTTTTCCATCCAGTTGAAGCAATGGAATCCTCGAATACATGCTTGAGATCAGTAATAAACTGGTCGAGGGTGAATAAACTTACAGTTAATCTGAATAAGATTATTATTGGGTTCTATACACAAAGTAGATTCCTTTTTGAACAGGATCATGCTCTCCCTGAATCTCTTATAGAGTATCAGTTTGGAGGATAATACTGGTAGCAGCTTTATTCCTGGATTCCATAGGCAGTTCCCTGAAGAGCTATTTTCTGTTCATGTGTACCTGTGCCTTTATTGGAAGATTGATACTTGGAGGTTGTTGTACATGTCTTTGTGACTTTTAGATGAAATTATTTTAAAACACTCTGCATGGGTCTGCTTATGAAAATGATTAAGAAACTTCAGCTATTAAATAATGTTGCTTGTGTGGTAACTGTTACACATTATCAGAGTCTTAAGTGGTGAAATACCTGTAGTAGTTAATTGATACTAAGCCCAATTTATATTAAAGCCCTAAAACATCATGGAACCACTTTCCATATAAGTTTCTGTAAAATTCTGAGATCAGCTAGTTAGGTCCCGGTAATTACCATTGTAGAGATATTCTGAACTTCCCAGCTTCTAAAAAGCTTGTCTCAAATGTGAGGAGAGATACTGTGTAAAGACCATGAATTCCTTCTCAGATCAAAGTCCATGGTATAGAAGAGTTCCTGGTATGCTCTTGACCCAACATTGCTAGCTGTCATTGACTGAAGAATTCTCTTCACCAGACTTGCCCCAGCTCCCAAATCAATACACTCCCCACCCCCCCTCTCTTTGCCTTTTTGTTGCTGGCAGTGGGAGCTGCAGTGGCAGAACATGGGAAGAGAACAGGAGCAAAGTTCTTCCTGTCCTCCTCCATTAGCCTGATGAACAGAGTATTAAACACCAATACAGAAAGCCAAGTGCATCATGGGAGTGAAAAATACTGTAAGGAAATCTTCCTTGGGCTGGTTTCATTTTGTTCTGCCTCAAGGATTTAGCTAAATTGGGGTGGGAGAGAAAAGCAAAGGCTGAAACCATTTGAGAAGTGGATTACAATTCCAACACAGCCAAGTCCTTGCCGCCCCTGCTTTTCATTTCTGTTTTCAGGGTCATTATTTGACATATAAAAGGAGTGAATGATGTGATGACTTGGTGGTTACCATTTTAGTCCACACTCTTTATGTTCAGATGTACCGCTTCCCAAGATGGCAGAAAAGGAAGGAGGAAAGGAAATTTCCTTTACACCAATTGCTGCTAGTGACACTACTGACAATTTAGTGAAGAAAATGAGATGATAGGGCTGGCTATCTCTATATCTGCTATATCATCTCATCTCTATCTGCTATATCATCTCAAGAAAATGATATAGCAATAGGGCTCGTTGCTTTTGTCAGCAATGAGTGTCAGGAAAGGGAGAAGTAATTCATCAGGCTCTCCAGTTGGCATAAAATCTTATTGATGTTCTTCTCTAAACACAAAACAGAAGCTTGTGGATTATTTCTAAGTCAATCCAAGGGGAGTTGTGGACATCTTCCCCCTCTATAATGCCAGAAACCTGGCATCTACAAGACATAGTAGTCCTCAAATTCTTCTCTGAATTCTTCTCTGAATTCATTTTGCCTTAGACCTGCCCTAAAGGTTGGAAGGTGAACACTGATGGTATGAAAAAGCAGATTTTTTGAGTGCCAAGAAATTTCACCTGGAACCCTCCAAAACTTTCCTTCTTTGTACCCAGTGTTTGCTGCCCTTCTGGACTGTTTGGTACCACTGTTATCCTTTTGCATTGCTGCTTCCTGAAGTTGCAATTCCCAGTCAATCAGGGAATATATTATGAATATCATGATGTCACAATTAGATTTGGTGCTGTAATAACATCACTGTCAACTAATACTATTTTGAAATGGCAACAGCAGTGCTTCTTGGTTCTTTCTTAATCTTGATTGTATTGGAAGGACCTAATATTTGGCAGGGTGAAAAGAAAGTGCAGCTGCTATTGCTTTGTAGCCAACCAAAAGTGTGTGTGTGTGCAGGGGGTAGTGGGGAGGTTGTTTATACCATCAGCTGGGAATCTTAGGATCTTTTGACTTCTCCTGTTTTCCAGCCTTAGTTATGCTTTCTGCAGAAAGGGAACAGTCTTGTTCATTTAATGCTTAATTAATTAATGTTCAATTAATGAGTTGACTCCTGCCAAATGTTTATTATAGTTGTATTTTATATACCTCAATTGGACTATTTTTAGTTGTTCCTGGGTTTTATTAATTGTACAATGCTTTGAAATTACTGACTGGAAAGCAAAATTAAAGATTAGGTAAGAAGTGGTATAAGCGATGTTCTGTATGAGGATTTCCCCACTGCCAATCTTTTCTTAAATGTTCACTAAATACAAAACATTTTACTTTTATTGGTTTATAGAAGTAAGTATAAATGCATAAACCTCAAACTTCACAAAACTTGAATCAGCATAAGTCAGGATAAATGTTGAGTAAATTATTAACATGGGGATGCCCTTGAAGACAGCCCAGATACTTTAATTGGTTCAGAATAGAGCTGCCAGAATGTTAACGGGGACCAGCCAGTATTCACATATAACAGCGGTCCTCTATCGGTTCCACTGGCTGTCAATTTAAGTCTGGGCCCAATTTAAGGTATAGGTAAGGTACCTATAAAGCCCTAAATGGCTTGGGTCCAGGTTACCTGAAGCAACACCTTCTTCCCTATGTGCCCTCCCACCCCTTGAGAACTGAAGTGGAAGTCCTGCTCCGGGAGCCCTCCTTGAAGAAAATTAGGAGGGTGAATACCTGGAGGAGGGACTTCATTGTGATGGTGCCCCAACTATGACATATGCTCCCCAGAGAGGTTTGTCTGGCACTGATGTCATATTCCTTTTGGGGTGAGGCAAAAACCTTGTTATTTTAATGTTTAATTGATTTTAACTGGGGATCAGTTGTCGGATTCTGTGGTGTTTTTTTTATTCTACTCATTTTTTGTAAGCTGTACCAAGACACTTGTATTGGACAGGCTAGAAAAGCTTTTAATAAATAAATAAATAGGTTTCTTCTTTGCTGGGTATCTGTTTTTCCACCCTTTAGATTTTCAAGAGCCATATGCTGTGGTCGTTCTTCTAGAAAAAGATTTAGTACTTATTGATCTTGCACAGATTGGGTAAGAATTCAAGATATAATGAGATTAAATTCAGATGTCTATTTCTTACATGCTGTTATAGATATTGTTTAGTTAATAACTGTGTTCTGTCTACCGGCATTTAACAAAATGTAGTTTGTTGAGTCCATTTTCTATGAACCTTATTTATGAGACTTTCTGGAGAAAAAATTGAAAGAACCACTGTAAAAACCCTATGAGATTTTATTTATACTTAATTTATTACTTTATTGTGATTTTAATTTGAAATAAAGACCTGAGGATAGCTCACAGTGAATTCGTTTCTCAAGTAATTGCATATGACACATTAGGACACAGCAGTGGAATAAATAGCACCAGTTGAACAAATTTCCTCTTCACTGTAAATCCCACTTCCAAGTCTAATTCAGAGGAGATACAGAACACTGGAACAGATTTGGGGGACATTCAAGAAGTGGGAGTGGGAGGAGTAAAAAAAAGAGTAGTCCTACTGCATGTTACATTTTATATAGAACACTGTGTGTGCATGCAGTCAGCATTGCATGCTATTCTGTAAGTATACTAGGTGGCATGCATGTTCATTTTCTTATACTACATACTTACGAACTGGCATCCTATGCATGACCTGGCCTTAAAATGTGCCGCATTGTATAATTGTTTTAATGTACTGTGTTTTTAAAGTTACGAATGGTTAGTCAGTCAAATTAATATATGAAACTCTGCCTTTCTTACATTTTCTTATTTTTATCTCCTATTGTTTCTATTCTAATTCTTGATTTTCAAACTTGAAGATAAATCTTAAGTTCAAGGTAAAATTTGGTCATACACTTATAATCATATGGTAAAGTATAAAATCGTTTGTTGCATTCACAATTAAATTTTGTTATCCAAATATTTTCATTTTGATTAAGTTAATACATTAATTTTTTTCCAGCTATGTTATAGACGTTTCAGCCCTTTTTCCTTTTCTGGCATTTGGTTTTTCCTGTTGGCAATTTTTGTCCTAGTTGAAAACTACTTTGGATAAAAAATGATACCAAAATACCTACATAATTGTCTACATAAAATAATTTGCTTTGTATTTTTATTCCTTTATTTAAGGTATCCTATATTTGAGAATCCATATCCCTTGAGTATACATGAATCTCCAGTTACCTGTTGTGAATATTTTGCTGATTGTCCTGTGGACCTTATTCCAGCACTTTATTCAGTTGGAGCACGACAAAAGCGACAGGGCTATAGTAAAAAGGTACCAAAAGGAAACAGTATCATTATTTCATGGCAGTGGTGCTCATTGGTTTTCTAGAAAAAGTAAAACTAGGAAAAAAATTCAGTACTCTAATTAATCTTATCTGATTTAGCATGTTTTTTGACTCATTATTACTCCCCAACACACAGTTTCTCAATAAACTTACAAATACATAATAATTAGTAATCAGAGCTAAAAATGTAATCTATCAATTTTATGTGCAGTATGAATATTCTCAATAGCTACAAATTGCAGATGAGTGAGATCTTATTTTGGATGGACCTGGTATTCAGCAGCAGCACCCCCATGCCTGAGGGCAGGCTGATAAGGCTCCCAAGAACTGGCAAGTCTGGAGGATGGCCATAAAAGGGAATAGCAGTCGGACTTCTAACCCCTCTTCTTCTTTGCTGGCATGCCACTCTCCTGGCACCATACTTCCCTCTACCCAAAAGCACTGTAATTGGGGCACCCTGTTGCACCTCAGGGATCTCTGCTATAACAGTGTGGTTATGCTAGAGGATCTGTCAAAGGCCAACCATAAGCTAATAAATAAGGCCATACAACAACTCAGCCAAAAGGGTACGAGACAAAAGGATTCCTGTTCATGCTGCCCCAGTGTTGGTGGGCATCAAAGGGATAGAGCCCTTTTGGAGTCGCCCTTCAGCAGCCACCACAAGAGCAAAACCCAAGAACACAACTACACTTAGAGGGCAATCCTCTTGAAGAACCCAGGATGGCATCTGGGCCAGAAGTCATGCCTCCTTCTGTGTGCCACAGGCAGCAGACCACAGTCCCTCTGAAGAGCTTGACCCCAGCTGCTGCCACCAGCAAAGGCTGGCAAGATGGAACACAGGAGAGCAGGCTGGACCCAAACAGCAGGCAGGTCAGACTGGTCTGTTTGGCAGGCCATGGCAGTGTAGTACCTTTAACTAGGCCCAAAGCTGACATTTGGGCTGAAAGTTGAACCTCCTCCTCTGCTCCACAGGTGATAGGCCATGACCAACACATAATAATAGTTTAAAAGTTACACTCAAGCACACTGAAAGTTCTATGTGGAAATAATTGTACTAGAATAGTGGTAAAAATGTAAAGACAATATATTGTATGATACTTGTAGTTTGTTTTTGTTAAATATAAACATCTGATAGAACATGGTGTTTTTAGGATATATACCCAAAGAAAATCTTATTTCACCAGTTTAATTTTCTTTTGCTGAAGTAACTGTAACACCTCAACCTTTACTCACTCTTTGCACTGCTTATCAGTTCCATTTCATGTTGAGAAAGATCTGATTCAGAATAATCATTTGAACATCCTGTTTCACTAAAGGGTGGATGTAGGTCTGTGGGTATAGGCCAAGGAACATGTGCAGGAGGATACTGTTGTACACACATCCTCTTGTGGGATCCTATGGGTAACTCTTTGTAAAGAGAATGCTGGACTAGATGTACCCTTTGTCTTATCCAGCATGGTTAAATCTTCATATGTTCTTAACTGAATTAAACAGTAATCTTCATCTTAGTTTCAGTTTCAGTTTTACTTCACTTTGTTACTGAAGAAATTTAGGAATAAAGGGCAAATATGACATGTCTGATCCAGACCCTTTCAGGAGGTAGCAGCATTGTGCAGAGGAATAAAATGTCATGCCTTATTTTTCAGTACTGCCATGGACTATACTGAACATTATGGTTTGTCAATGCTTGACCTAGAAGTATAAATTATTAACGTTCATAGCAGTTCATATCCTGCATTTAGGCCATCTAACATGATTGATTACAGCACAACAGACAACATGGATAAATGCAGACATACATGGTATAGAATATTTTCCAAGAAAAATATATAATCAGAAAATGTTCATCACCACATGATGGTGTTTCTTGTATTTGGATTTAATCTATGTATTTGTTTAATTAGGAATGGCCAATCAATGGTGGAAACTGGGGTTTGGTCACACAAAGTTATCCAGAGATCATTATTACAGGGTAAGTAATAAGATGGAACTTCACTGTAGGTTTCAGTTACAAAGAAGAGCATGATCTACCTATCTATTTTGAAATCTGTATATAATTTAGGATGGTAATATCACTGAGTTATCATGCTCAGTGTTACCGGAGATTAGAAACCATCTTGGGAAGTGAATAAGTAAACTCATCGAAGACCATTTCCTGAGTTGTGAAAGCAAGGAGGGTAATTAATGTATGTCTCTTTTGTCCCACTCTACCCTTAGGCTTTTTTTAATGGGAGGAAAACAATTTATCAGGCGACGAGGACTAGAGAAGGTCTTCCGTCCTTCCAACCAAAACGTCGACTTTCTTCATGAAAGTTCACTTACTGCTTATAAGATCAGCATTTATTAAAAAATAGAAACGCCCAATACCAAAATAATGCAGCAGAAGAGAGTATTGTATCCTAAATTTAATTATATAATTGTGTATCAGAAGATAATGCAATGAAATATATATTTTTCTTATTTCCATTATAAATCCTATCATACAGCATAAGAGTTGAAATGAGCAAGGTAATCACAAGTTTCTGTGCTGAATTGAGAGGACATCTGGAGCAGATGTGTTTTTTCCAGTGGCCTCCAAATTCTACCCCAGTTTGCTTATGCAAACTTAGATCTTTCTATTTGTGTATAACATTTTGGTTGGACTTCTTAAGATTCTTTTAAATTTGAAATAAGGATTGTAGAATTATCTTAATTTGAGGACTTTTTAAATTAGAAAACCAACCTGTTATTGTATTACATAAATTAAAATCTTTCTGTGTTACTAGTTGTTCTATATTTTGCATACAAAATAGTGTGCATACCCTTTAACTGTTTTCTAGAAGTATTATTATGAATGTAGTCCAACACAAAAGTAAAATAGCAGATTTAGTGAACTCTGTAGAATTATGTGAATTAGAGATTATATTTAGACTGTAGTCCTATGTCTACATACCATTAAGTAAGCAGCATGAGACTCAATGGGACTTCCTTTTAAAAAAATAGGACAGCACATGACAAAATTCTTTCTTATGATGTTTACATATGCATTTTATATAAAAAGATATTGGTGCTTCTAGTGTATCCACCTAATCTCATCAAGAGCAGTGCATAAAGAATGCATCTTTATTCACAAGTTGACCCATCAAGTTCAGCAAAGTTTACTTTCTAGTAAATGCATTTATGTATTTATGGTTGTAAATTTACCTGTAAATCCAACATAGAGTTAGTGGGATAAATTACTGGATTAGCAGCTCTCTACTGCTTTTTCCTATTGTGAAATCAAACTTCTCTGTACACCTAAGATTTGCAAGACGCTATGTAGTTGTGCGCAAAGTAGAATTTCAGTTGGATTTTCTCCTTGGGCATAGTTGAGAATTTGGTTTCTGCTTATGTATCATTTGTACTAGTGGAATGATACCACTGGTACAACTTTTAGTTCTTCGTTGTGGCCTCTGTGCAGTCACACATATGGGTGCTGCACCTGCGCAGTGCCTTTGGCCGGAAGATTGAAAGCTAACGGTTTTTTGGCAGGAAAGCTCCGCTCCCCCTCCCCCATAGTCTATAAAGAGCGGAGCATCCGCCATTTTGTTCAGTCTTTGCGACCACCGTTTGCTGTGCTTCGTGCCACTTTTGCTCTCGCTCTGACCGTTGCTCGTCTTGATTGTTCTTGATTGTTCTTCTCTCCAAGTTCTATAGCCCCTGTTTAGTAGTTCTGGTTCCTCTTAGTAGTTCTCTGTTTTCTGTCGTTCTCACTCTTTTTCTGTCTTCTTAAATATATATTCTTTACCCTCTGCACTATCTTCTTTTTTCCTTTTCTCATGATGGGGCAGCGAGCGATTTTCCACAAGTGTGCAGAATGTGGGTCTAAGATGTTGCCTGCTGACCCGCATGACCTATGCCTCCTATGTTTGGGGGAAGGGCATAGGACCGATAAATGCTCCCACTGCCTGGCCTTCTCTAAGCAGGTCAGGAAAAATCGGGAGAATCGCCTACGGAAGCTCTTGTGGGATCGGGCTCTTTCGCAGTCAGACCCGCTAGTCACCGCTCCGAAGCCTGGCTCTCCCACTGTGGCTCCGTCCTCACGCCCTTCGGATGAAGGCGCGTCTACCATGGGCGCTCGGCCTGCTTCTCCGAAGAAGAAATATGAGAAGTGTAAACACGCCGATACCGACAAATCAGCCAACCACAAGAAAGCCAGGAAGGAGAAGGCTCCGAAGCCGCCTAAGAAATCTAAGGATCCGGAACGTCCTAGGCACTGTGATTCGAACTCGACGGCCCCTTTGGTACCGACGGCAGTCACCGTACCGACTCCACCTGACCCGCTGCTTCAGGCGGCTATGAGGGTTACCCCTCAAGGGTCCCCTTGCCATGTGGCTGAGCTTCCTGCAGAGCCTCTCCCCACTCTATCGAGGGAGTCAATCTCTGATGGAGAAATTCGGGATTCTCCCCCTAGGGCTAGGTCGCCCACACCTATGTTCACAGCCACATTGGAGGCGGATGTGGAAATGTGGCTCCTGCAGCCTAGGAGCTGCAGGAGCCACTCCTTGGAACGTCGATCGGAGGGATGGTACCGCACCTACTACCATGCATGGGGTGACCCGCTTTCTGTTGGACACTATCCTGCTCCAAGGGGTCGATCTTCTCCACCATCTCGCAACCGTATACTGTCCTCGGGCCTGAGGCGTGCATCCCTGATACCACCTAGGGATGAGAGTAGTCGGTCCTTCTCTCCGGTGGAGTTCTCATCATCAGCCCCCCTGTACTATGCTGCCAAATTCGACGATTCGGAGGTCGATTCCACCTCCCCAGATGTCGCTGTCACCTCCCAGGGCCCTGTGTCACCCGACGAATCAAATATCTCCTTCGCGGAGTTGATGTCCCGCCTTGTCCAGTCCCTCGAGATCGACGCCATCCAGCATCCAGGACCCAGTATGGACAAGTTTTATGATGTCCACGGGGAGCAATCTGCATTGATTGTCCTGCCGCTGATTACCACCTTGCGGCAGGCCATGACGCAACCGTGGGACCTGCTCGTCCACCCCCAACTGACTTCGCAGAGGTATGAATCCATGTACCGGGTTCGGGAGGAGAACATACCCTTCCTCCTCCTCCATCCCAGGCCGAACTCGGTCGTGGTGGAGTCCTCCCAGGACAGGGAGGCGAGAGGTCACACTGCTCCGAGGGACAAGGAGGGTCGGAAGATCAGCTCCCTGGCTAGGTGAGTCTATGCTGCCTCTGGCCTAGGGCTGAGAATCTCTAATTATGAGGCGATGCTGGCAAGGTATCAATACTTCATTATGCAGCACCTCCATAACATCGTCTCAGCCCTCCCAGACCACCAAGGTGACCTGGCCAAGGTTTTCATCAAGGAGGCAATGCAAGTAGCCGTCCAACAGTTGTCCACTGCCCAACATCATGTGGACACAGATTCAAGGGCCTTGGTCGGTGCCGTCTCCCTCCGGAGACATGCCTGGTTATGTAACTGTAACTTTCCGGAGGAGACGAAGAGACGAATAGAGGAAATACCCTTCGACGGGTCCGGGCTTTTCCACTCAAGAACTGACCACAAGCTGAAGAAACTCCATGAGTCCCGCATGACAGCCCACCGCATGGAGCTTCAGACTCAGACCAGACGTCAGTGGTCATGGACCCACCCATCTTATAGGTAGTCATACCAGCCCAGACAGCAGCCCCAACACTGGCAGCAGCAACAGCAACGCCGCCGTCAGCAGTCTCCGCAACGATATCAGCAAGGCCATCGTCGTTTCGACGGATATAGGAGGCAGCATTGATGGGACGGGCGAACCACTCCTCTAACTCCTACCATACCCACCCCCCTCTCATCTGGGGACCGGCTGCGAAGCCGACTCCCCATTTGGGAGTCCATCACATCTGATTGGTGGGTATTGTCCATCATACAGCACAGCTGTCGGATAGAATTCGACATAGTCCCTCCATCGAGTCTGATCCGTTTTACCTCATGCTCTCCGGTATTACTTGATGAAGTCCAGCAACTCCTTCGTAAAGGAGCAATTCGTCAAGTAACGCTGGCTGACGGACTTCACGGATTCTATTCCAGATATTTTACAGTCCCGAAGTGGGATGGTGGTCTGCGTCCAATTTTGGACTTGCGCAATCTAAATCGATTTATCACAACAAAAAGGTTCCGAATGACCACCCTTCAAAATATTCTGCCATTGCTGAGGAAAGAGGATTGGTTCGCCGCATTGGACTTGAAGGACACTTATTTCCACATTTCCATTCACCCGAGTCATAGGCATTTACTTCGTTTTGCTGTTGCATCCCAACTATTCGAATTCAGAGTTTTGCCTTTCGGACTGGCTGCTGCTCCGAGAGTGTTCACCAAATGTATGGCTCCTGTCTGCGCTTTCCTATGGCTCCAATTTACCCTTACCTTGATGACTGGTTGCTGGTGTCCCAATCTAGGGAGGGACTTCTTGCATCCATCCGTATGACCTGTGCCTTGTTAGACAATTTGGGACTATTCATTAATACCGAGAAATCTTCTCCCGGTACAGACGATTACTTTCATCGGAGCCTGTTTGGATTCTATCCTGGGGAAAGCATTCCTTCCTCAGGACAGACAACAGACTCTTGCTCGCCACATCCATCGAATGCGACGAGACATGACGGTTCCGGCAAGGTCCATCCAGAGACTTCTGGGGCATATGGCTTCCTCAGTTGCTGTGGTCCCACACGCCAGACTTCACCTTTGTCCTTTACAACTCTTGCTCAACTAGATGTTATGTCCACAAAGAGACCCGCCGACAAAGTTGATTCGAATTCCATCCTCTGTGCTCCATTCTCTACTCTGGTGGTCAGTTCCAGCCAACCTGACCGTGGGGGTTCCATTCAGACCTGGATGCCCTTCGGTATCCCTCGGTACTGATGCAACTCTACTAGGATGGGGAGCACTATGCTCCGACCTATACACTCGGGGCATGTGGAATTGTCAAGAATCCAGGAATCATATCATATTCCTGGAGCTCCTGGCTGTGTTCAAGGTCCTGCGTTCTTTCAAAGATGTTCTCTGATATTGGGTAGTTCAGATAACCTTGGACAATATAGCCACCGTTTTTTATCTGAACAAGCAAGGCGGGACAAATTCACCAACTCTGGCCAGACTCTCCATGAAAATCTGGGAATGGTGCATCCCGAGGGACATTACTCTGATGGCAGTTCATCTCATGGGTACGGACAATATGGAAGCAGATCTTCTGAGCAGACGCATGCTCATCTCTCACGAATGGGAACTAGATCCCCATACACGCGACCATCTTTTTCATCGCTGAGGGTTTCCCGACATGGACTTATTCACCACCCAACAGAACAAGGTGTGCAACACTTTCTGTTTGAGAGCAGAAATCGGGCACGGATCCCTAGGGGACGCCTTCATGATCCCTTGGAGCAACCTGAACTTTTACGCCTTTCCCCCAATTCCCCTTATTATGAGAGTGATAGCGAAGATAATACACGATTGGGCCACGGGGCTACTGATCACCCCTTGGTGGCCACACCAAGCTTGGTTTTCGACACTGCTCCACATTTCCCGTGGAGAATATCTCCATCTTCGACTGCTTCCGTACCTCATAGCCCAGCGAGACGGCACACTTCGCTACCCAGATTTAGCGTCACTGAAATTAACAGCATGGTGAATCTGATAACTAATATTCCGGTATTGGTACCTACAGCATCTATAAGTGACTCGAATCCTGTCTCCGGATCCAGTGCGTTCAGCGCTCTGTCTTCCCTCGCTTCCCTCGCATTATCGGGTTCGAGGAACGTCCCGTCAGATTCAACAGCTTTTCATCCAGACATCCAGCACATCCTTGATTCTGCATTAAAGCCGTCTACATGGAAGTCATACGCAACTAAATGGTGACGATTTTCTACCTTTGCTGAGTCCTGTTCGTTCTCTCCATATGCTGCATCTATACATCATATCCTTCAGTTCCTATTAGAACTGCACCAGTCTGGACTGAAGCCGTCTTCCATTAAAGTGTACACGGCAGCAATCGCCTACTACCGTGGCTTAGTTGACGGATCACCTATCTTCTCTCAGCCACTTATAAAGAGATTTCTTAAGGGACTTTGTAATCTTAACCCGTCAATCAGACCAGTGATGCCTACCTGGAGTCTCTCTGTAGTCTTACAAGCACTTACAAGAGCCCCCTTCAAACCCTTAGCAACAGTCGATTTACGTCTTGTTTCCTGGAAGACGGCGTTTCTTGTAGCGGTTATATCAGCTTGAAGGGCTAGTGAGCTCTGCGATCTCCGTATAGATCCTCCTTACCTGAATTTCCACAGAGAAGAAGTTGTCTTGCGATTAGATCCATCATTTCTTCCGAAGGTGGCCACCTCTTTTCACTTGGGACAAGACATTGTCTTATCTGCCTTCTTTCCATCTCCGACGAATCTGTTAGAAAGATCGTTACACTCATTTGACGTTCGGCGCTGCCTGGCCTTCTACAGATCAAGGACTGAGTCTATTCGACGTTCTAATAAACTCTTCATCAAATACTCTACCCGAGATCAAGGCCTTCCAGTCACTCCTCAGAGACTCTCCAAGTGGATAGTCCATACAATCATTCTATCTTATCAGCTGGCTGGGATTGACTTACCTACAGCTCCTTGAAGCCACTCTGCTAGGGCTGTGGCTACCTCCTCTGCCTTCGCGTCGGGAGTTCCCATTGATGACGTGTGCAGAGCTGCTACTTGGGCAACTCCTTGCACTTTTGCTAAACATTATCGCCTAGATGTTCGTGCTAGGCAAGACTGCTCCTTTGGCAGGGCCGTTCTTTCCTCTGTTCTTCGTTAAGGACACCTCCCCTCCTCCATTAATGGTAAACTTGCTAATCTACCCATATGTGTGATGCACAGAGGCCACGACGAAGAAAAGCAGGTTGCTTACCTGTAACCGATGTTCTTCGAGTGGCCATCTGTGCAGTCACACAACCCACCCGCTGGCCCCGCTCGGTGTCGGTGAGTGGACATATTCGTCGGTACCAAAGTTCCTCTTTTTTTCATGGTACAGATATCGTTTATAGTAGGGATTTTTTTCCACATGGGGGCGAACGTTCGGTCTTCAAAGACTGAACATAATGGCGGACGCTCCGCTCTTTATAGGCTATGGGGGAGGGGGAGCGGAGCTTTCCCGCCAAAAAAACCATTAGCTTTCAATCTTCCGGCCAAAGGCACTACGCAGGTGCAGCACCCATATGTGTGACTGCACAGATGGCCACTCGAAGAACATCGGTTACAGGTAAGCAACCTGCTTTTTCCATTTGATTCTATGCAGCAAAATATATACTCTCCAACCTGTTGAAGAGTGGTTGTGGATAACAAGCTAAATATGAGCCAACAATATGATGCAGCCATCAAAAGGGCAAATGCTGTTTTGGGATGCATTAATAGAAGTATCACTTCCAAATCACAAAAGGCACTAGTTCCCCTATACTTTGCGTTAGTCAGACATTATCTGGAGTACTGTGTCCAGTTTTGGGCACAAAGTTTTAAAAAGATGCAGAAAAATCAGAAAGGGTTCCGAGGAGGGCAACAAAGATCATTCAAGGTCTAGAAACAAAGCCCTATGAGGAAAGTCTGAGAGAACTGGGCATGTTTAGCCTTGAGGAGAGAATACTGAGGTGGGATATGATAGCACTGTACAAGTACCTGAAAGGCTATCACAAAGAGGAAGGACAGGATCTCTTTTTGCTTATCCCAGAGTGTAAGACATGAAACAATGAACTGTAGTTGCAACAAACCAGATTCAGGCTAGATTGTAGGAGAAAAAAATCCTAACTGCTAGATCAGTACGACAGTGGGACCAGTTGCCTAGAGAGGCCGTGGGCTCTCCCACGCTAAACACATTCAAAATGAAAGTGGACAGTCATGGGAGTGGAATGGTGTAACTTGGTGTCCTGCACCAGCGGGGGGTTGGACCTGATGGCCTTCATGGCCCTTTCCAACTTTATTATTGTATGATTCCACAGGAAGAGAAGAAAAATTGCTATTCTTCACAGAATTTAAGGTATGATTCCACAGGAAGAGAAGAAAAATTGCTATTCTTCACAGAATTTAAGGTCACCATGGAAGAGTTCCTTAGTGCTATCCTCAGATGCATCCCTTTACTGCTTCCATAAAACTAGCATTAACTCTTATTGAGAAAAATAAAGGTAGATACAAGAACATTGCATTGGTTGCAAAGCTTTCCCTCCAAATTTGAAACTGTGTGTCCTAGACTGCACCATCAGGACCCTCTTAGAAACATAAAATGTCACTGCATTCAGAGAGCACACAGGTGCATACAGTAACCACTACGCATTATTTTAACACTCATTGCATCTATGGGAAAGCCAGGTGTATTACTAGTAAAATGTTGATGCTAAGAAGCAAATAGAGTCATATGGTTTTACATTATCAATTTAATATAACTAAATGTTATCCTTGCCGTCCATTCTCTAAAGCTATTTTCTGTCTTTATAGGCATGCGGATGGATCAATCAAGTTTTGGGATGCCTCTGCAAGTGAGTGCTTTACCATATTATGTGAGGTTTCTATAGGGAAAAAAATTAAACCTACATGCTGCTGTAAAACTGATACTTTGTGAATGGGATATCCTTTTTTATCTTTTCACTTGAATATTAAGGCTCATGCCAATCGTACTTAAGTCACATTGAAATGAATGTGTTCAAGTTAGTTTCAACCAAATTGTCTGGTTGATTTGAACAGGACTGAAGCACAGCTAACTGTAGTTGAATTGGAACCAACCATTGATTTCCAAGGCAAGGATTAACCAAGTTGATGGAGATGGTGGAGTTAAAACTTTTAAGGTACAATCCTATGCATGTTTAGACAGAATCCATGCTGGGAGTTGTAGGACATTTCAATATCTAAGCAGCATAGAATTGCACTCTTAATTGGATGACTTGTTTGAGGTAAATACTTATGGATAGTAACTGACTGATTTGTCATGAACAGAAACTGTCTTACACAACTTGGAAATTCTGATCTTCATTAAAAGTTGATGTAACCCTAGTTTTTATTATGAATTCTATTTTAGAAGATACTATCTTAGTACCAATTCATAATTAAGATCCTGATCCTTTTCTGTATGAGGGTAAGCTGAAAATCCCCTATGATCCTGTGGACCTTTATTTAGATACTGGTCATAATATAGATGCTGCGGACTCTATCACTGTAAACCTAATCTAACCTGTAGAGGCTTGGGTTACTAGTTCATCATTTTTTTAGAGTTTTATACTGCCCAACTGGTAAATGCCATAAGGATGATTTACAGTGATAAAGCCAAGCAACAACTTAACAAGCACTAAGTAATAACAGTAATAGTAATAAACAGTAATAAACATCAAAAACAATTAAAAAGATTTAAACCTTTGAAGGTTAATACTCAAAGAACAGATTAAAGATAATCTGCCAGCTAAATACCAGTTTAAAAATGTGTTAACCTGGTATCTAATGTGTGCAATAAATATATGAATGTTCGCTCTTCTGACCCTGTGGAAGGAGGCTTGATGAGGAGATGGAGACATAAATCACCATTGTAATCTCTGATCTGTGATTGGAGAAAAAACCATTTCTCTTCATGCCCTTTTCTTTCCCAGTTGAGAAGGCAGGCTGTAGAGTGGGATTTCTATTTCATTTCTAATCATAGATTGGAGATAACAGTGATTCCCACAGAAATCCCACAGAAATTTTGCTGCGAGCTCAACTGCTGTTAAGAAAATGTGTTAACTTTTTTAAATAGTGGACGGGCCAAGTATATGAGAAAGGTGACTGGTACCTATCCCTGTACCTGGACTGCAGAAACTTTTGTATGTAAATGCTTTCTCTCTGAATCTGGGTGTGAAGTAGACTGCTCCTCAGCCCTGAACAGCTTCACTGCATGCAAGCCTTCCCCAGTGAAGTAGGCCTGTGTCCATTGAAGCCACTTGGACCAAATTTCAGGGGGGTGATCCTGTAGGTGCATCAGCTGGTGATCGAGTGACATCAGAGAATGTAGCTCTGCCTCTTGATGAAAGGTATGGCCATGCTCCCTGATATCAATTGACCTCTGGGAGAATGGTTGGGGAGGGGTCATCTGGCTTCCCACCTGGAGCCAGTTCCCTACTTCTTGATTCAAAACACCTAATCTTAATACTGTATGCAGTATTCTGGTTACATATAGCCAGTTTCCTCCCCCGTACTTCCCTTTGTAGTCTTTCTTGTCCCTTAGAAGACATACCTGAGTGTCAAAGGAGCCTTTTGCACAAGGGGAATACATCTAGATGACATGGACACAGACACACATTATCACTTGTAGAGGAATTTTATAGAAAATAGCACCCTATAGTAATAGAAATATGGGTACCATAAATTATAATGCTTGTTTTAGGACTGCCTTTTTAATCAGTATTGTTCATGCATGTATAATCAACTTATTTTTTAATTCTAGTAACATTGCAAGTTCTGTACAAACTAAAAACAGCTAAAGTCTTCGAAAAATCTCGAAATAAAGATGACAGGCCTAGCACAGACATAGTAGATGAGGATCCATATGCCATTCAGATCATCTCATGGTGTCCAGAAAGCAGGATGCTGTGCATAGCAGGAGTTTCTGCACACGTTATTGTTTACAGATTCAGCAAACAAGAAATTACAACAGAAGTTATTCCGGTAAATGACAGTTATCTTTATTTGACATACTATTAAATAGTTATATAAATGGTTATTTAAAAATAAAAACTGCAGTAGTTGCTTTGTCAAGTTTTATTTATGCCACACATTTATCACTACCCTTATGAAACACAGCCCTTACAGTTTTTTCAAGAAGTTTTGTTCAATTTTATTGTATAATATGATTAGATAGTTCCAGATATTCTTGCATGAGGCAAATGTGATGGAACTATCTCAGACAGAGGTCTGGGTCTGAGATTTCCTTGCTCTCTTCATCTAGACTTGAATATGCACAAGTACAGCCTTGCTCATTCATTTAGACTTCTCAGTGATATTTGATACTGTAAAGTATCCCATTATTCTGGATCATTTCAGATGTATAGGAGTCAGGACACTTTCTGACAGTGGTTCTGTTCTTATCCCTATCCACTGGTTTAACCCTTTGGAGAGGAGTACAGGGTTCAGTGTTGGCTTATATTCCATGTTCAGCATATTGTGTGCAATCACAGCAGCTTTCCACATTTTATTGACATTCACCCAGCTTTAGTTTTCATTTTCACCAAATCCATACTATATCCAGTATCAGTGACTTCTTCCTCTAATGAATGCCCCAGCATAGATATAGACTGGAAATGAGATAGGAAGTAGAATCTTAATGCAGACAGATGATGGGTTAAATTGCCCATAAACTAGAGGCTTGGGGGTTGTCCCAAATTCTTAGGTGGTAGTTGCTGTCAAGAGTACTTTTTCATCAGCTTAGGTTGATGATCTAGCTGCAATTGATTCTTTTCACTAAGGAAAGTGCAGTGTGCTCTGTCTTTAGGATATTCAGAGGCCTTAGCTGGCATACCGTGCAACAGCTGATCTATTGACAAGAATGGCTAGTAGGGAGAATACTAGTTTGAACTTAGCTACCCTAAATTCCTAATACAACAAACAGAAGAAAGTCCATGTAAGGCAGCTTGGGTGCCTTGCAAGAAGTAGACAAAGCTAGACTTTAAATGTAATAAAAATAAATATTTGTTGGTACCGAAGTAACATATTTATGGTTACTAATAACTCTAGGCTTCTTTGCATAATATCTGTTTCATTGTCATTTACAGATGCTTGAAGTACGACTATTGTATGAAATAAACTATATAGAATCTCCAGATCCTGAGCAAGTGCCACCACTGCCTACTCCCAGCACAGGTTCCAATCCTCAACCTATCGCTCCCCAGTCTCATCCATCCACTAGCAGCAGTTCATCTGATGGGCTTCGTGATAATGTCCCATGTTTAAAGTAAGTTCAGTATATTTCTGAATAGCATGTCTGTTTTCAATGGCACTTAAGTCTGGTTTTAGAAAAAGACTTTAATGAAAACAATCATTGATATTTTTACATGCATCACTTTGGGTTATGGTTATCCATATATTCTGCTATATTGTACGAAAAGGTGCAGAAATAGAAAACATCTGTATAATTCTTATGTATAGTACAATGTAATTATATACTCACAACAACATATGAAATAATCAATATGCTTCAGTAGCTCTGATTACCAAATTTTTATTTAAAGCACCTGTAACTTGAGCATATGTTCTGTTTCAACAGTTTTAGATTCTACACACATATCTTTACATCTTTAACAGATTAACCATAATGATTAAACTAAAATGCATTCTTTTTAGTAACTAAGGTAAATATATTGATCAAACTTAATGGAGATTTACACTTCAAACACGTGCTCTGAATAAAGAATAAGAATAAATACCAACAAAAATGGTTAAATAATAGATAGTTATTTTGGCAGTTACAGTCTTTTCCATGTCAGAAGTAAGACGCCAATTCTCAGTCTTCAAAGAAATCCAGATGATAATAACCATAATTGTTTTTGGAAGTGGGAATGTTCTTATATTGAAATCATTCTATCATGAAATCCGTTGCCTTTTTCACTTTCACATGCTTTTTTCTATTTATTTCCTTTATATTGAGCAGAGTTATGAACTTGAATTCTCCAGTTCAAATTTCAGTCATCAGTGCAAGGTTGATAGAACAGGAACTACAGGGCCAATTTGGGAAAAATTGTTAGATTTTCACCCCCAACTTGGTCAGATTCCTCACATATCCCTCACACTGGATTTGACTCTGCCAAGTTTTAGAGAAAGCAGCATCCGTTGCTTTCCAGAGTGATTGTGGCATCTCGACTGGCCACCATAATTCAGCTTTATTGTAATTGTAATATAATGTTATGAGTGCTTTGAGATCTTGATGTAAAATACTGCATATAGTGGGGGCTCTTATAATGCAATTCTAATTTTTTATAATTAGTTTTTTTCCTCTTTGGTCTTTAAACTTTTCAATTTAATTAAGTGTAATGTTATCGATCTTCTAATGCAGTGGATTTAATTCATAGTAGATGAGAATACAAGGCATTTGCAGATGTAAAACTAAGCCTAAATTTGGAATGATGAAAATAAACATTTGTACCTGTGCTAACTTGTGGTAACATATATAACCATGAAATATTCATTTTTGGGTAAACATTAAGAATGTTTTCTCATGAACAGTACCTTGGGTGTGTCAACTGCGCACCATTTATCCATATTCTCAGCAAATTGTTATTTGTCATTTAATTTCCATTGTGTTCACAAACCCAGTTACCCCACAAGCCAAATGAGAAACCTTATTAAGTACAGTTGATTATGCAATCAGTTATACAAGTTTAGGGAGAGCAGAAATGTGCAGGACCATTGCTTATACTAGCTCATGGTCATTGTGTGAATATGGTTGTTTACTTTAAAAAAATCTCCATATCAATGAATTTCTTCCATTGTAAACATCTGTATCATTGCTAAATTGTTGTAACAAATACAACCTATCACAAAATACTTGCCTTTAGATAAAAATTAAGAAAGTTTTATTGTCTTGGCAGACTTTCTTAAAGGTATATATTGATTGCATTTTGTTTATGTTGCAGAGTTAAAAACTCTTCCCTCAAACAGTCTCCAGGCTATCAGGTTGAACTGGTTATCCAGTTAGTATGGGTGAGTGGAGAACCTCCTCAGCAAATAACAAGCCTTGCAATCAATTCTGCCTATGGCTTGTAAGTATATTGGGTGTTGCATTTTTTATTCTAAATCTCTCATCCTGTTGCAAAAGTGATCTGCCATGTCTGTTCAGCTACAGGATCTATGACATTTGTCATTTATTTATATATGCAGTAGACAGCACAAGTAGTCAGAAATAGTCATAGAGTCAGAATAAAGCTATATTCCATCTCTATATAGTAGATCAGGTGGAATAACTTCCGATGCTAGGTATATATTGCATACCTAGGAAAATGCTAAGCTTACTTTAAATAGCCCTTTTAGAAAATGTTGGCAAGATGTGCTTTCCAAGATAGAACATGAAGCTTCCAAAATGCCATATGCCTTCCTCCTTTTTGTCACAAGTATTTTTTACATTAAGCCACTTGGTGCAGACACTTGTCTTCTTTTGGTAATATTTAGTGGAGCTAATATTATGTAAATTGCAGCACTATCTGATGTGACTGCCCATAATCCTTCAGACTTGGAGAATTAGAGGCATCCTAACAAGAATGGAAGAAGTGCTGTGGCAAAATGCTTAGATGTCTGCCTTGCCCCTACTGAGAAACAGCCAGGATACCCAGTGGAGCATTACTTCTTGCTTTCCCATCCCCTGAAAAATCCCCCACCATAGGCCCCGAGATCAGCATTTCACTCTTGGAGCCTCAGCCAGCACAAGAACCATGCCAACTGCAAGAGCAGATGGAGGGTACACCGAGGTTGGAACTGAAATTCCAGGCTTTCTTGGGCCAACTAGGTAGTCTCAAGTGGTCATAAGATTGTGCCTAATAAGTTTTTTAAAACCTAAAAAAAATAACATATACAACACAGTAACCTTCCTGTTTAAGAAAGAGAAAGAAGAAACAGACCTTTGCAGATTCAAATGGTAGGATGGTGGACTATGCAGCCTCTATATAGTTCTAAAATATATTATTATCCATAATTAACTTTTTAGGTACAAATTACCACACAGTAATACTTGAGATAGGCATGAAACATCTTGATGGAACATGCAGTAAATTAACACTTGTTAGGAACTACAATGACATTGTGAAAAAGCTCTGAATATACAACAGTATGAGCCTTCTGGAAAATGTTGAATTGCAACATTTTTTGCTTTGCTTAAACATTTGTAACACATATTTGTCTCAAACTTAGTAACAAATCTTTAAAAAGTATGTCATGTTAATTCTGCATGATCTATAAATATTTCAAAAGTTTGAACTGAAATATCTAGGATTAAATAAACATAGGATACTGTGGTTTAAATATTATGTTTAAAGTTAAACTTGGAAATTGTTTTTATTGATGCAGTTGTATGTATTTTAAAACATAACAACTGAGTAGCAAATATTTTTACATAATATTCACATTTTAAGGAAAAATCTATAAACACACTAATTTAAGCATGCCTCAATTGCTCAGCTCATAAATATAGGTCCTTTTTTGAGAATCATCTGAAAAGCATTGCAACTATAGCTTTAACTAGTATTGTAGCCATTCCAATTTCCCAATTTTACTGGTATTTTGTCCATTCATTAATTTGATAATTAAAATGGTAAAATAGTGTATTTATTTAAAAATATATCAAGAAAAAATACAATGCATTTTTTTCTTTTTGGGAAACTTTCCAAAGAAACATTTTCCACACTGCTGTAGATGTTTAATAATTAATATTCTGTTCTTGTTCAGTTAAATATAAAACAATTTTATCTTAGTTTTTAAAGTAAGTTAAGGGTCCCACTGGTGGGTGGAAGAAGCACAGAGACGACACTCCTCCCATCCTCCAATATGGTTAAACTTGCAATTTGAGCTGCCATGTATTTTACAGTGGCTTCCAAATAAAGGTCCTGGATGTACTGCCAGTTGCCTTGTGGGACAGTAGTGCCTTACTCCTCCCTGTTCCTTCCAGAAAAGTCTGCCAGAGCCAGCTTCACTGTTGCTCTTTCAACCTTGGAGCCAAAGCCAGTGCTTCTCTTCGGTCAGAACTGGGACTTTGATTTATCCTATCACCCTAGTGCTATAATAATCTAAAGAGCCTTTCTAAAGTGAACTTGACCTTATCTTTTGTAAAAATCATAAATAATGAGTAAAATGACATTTGTATAAGTCATTCTTTATAAAATAATAAAAGCCTGATGTTGTCAGTGGTTATAACTTCTGTTATTATCAATGATGTATTAAGGCAATGTTTATTCTAAATGAAACCACAAGCGAAGAACATTGTTCCTTGCTAGTCAGAAGCTTGGGTGGTGAGTTTGAACACCACCAGCACTGGTAACTTTCTATGAATTTAGGAACTTCTGCAAAAAGGAGGCATGGAAAATAACCCAGATCCTTGTTGAGGAAAAGGAAAACAGAAAATAGAAATATGCATGCATTTAAAAATATATCCAGAGAAAGCTGAACAATGTGCTATCTTGGCAAGGCATACTCAGTTTCCAGAGAAATGAAACTCAGAATGAAGTAAATCGACATGGGACTTGACATTGGGCTAGGTATAAAGATTCAAGCAATCACAGAACAGAAGGCTGGGGAATTTAACACAAAGGAATGGAGAAGATTGGGACTTGGTGGATTGCTCCAAGCTCCCTTTAGCTATATGTAGAATGCTTCTTCAGGTAACCACCATAGTACAAAATTAAAATCCACAATTGTTTTTTTTTTTCATGAGCTGTTCTGTTGTTTTCATCTTGCTGATTGTTTGGGGTTTGCATTTAGTTTGGTTTTATTGCCTTAAATTATTTTACATAAAAATAAACAATAAACTGTATTAAATATATCATTTCTATACAGCCTAATAGCTGAAACTCAGTTCACAACAAAGCCCAGGTCTACCACAACTCAACGAAGAAGATGTTATTATTTCCTGTACTGCTACAAAACCTAATCCTCAGACCTTATATTTCATGGATCATTTAGAGTTCTGTTTTATCTTCAGCTGCCAGTAATTACCAGTAATAAAGCAACCTGTTTTTCATAGTAAATCTACTTTTCAGAATTTACAAATATATTCTACAGATGTCAGTACAATTATAGTATTAGTATATACTTGGATAGCAACTGTTCATTGGAATTGTCTTTTTTTCTAACAAATCTTCTTTCAGAGTAGTTTTTGGAAATTGTAATGGTATCGCGATGGTTGATTATATCCAAAAGACCACACTCTTAAACCTTGGCACCATTGAATTGTATGGTTCTAATGATCCTTACAGGAGGGAACCTAGATCTCCTCGTAAAAGTAGACAACCATCTGGAGGTAAGTTATGAACTTTATTTGTTGTCAAAATGATTGCTGCTTTTCCACATACATGATTGTATGTCAACATGAAAGCCTGGTTGGCTTTTTTTGGGGGGAAGTGAAAAGTAAGCCAAAGGCCATACGTATATATGGTAGGCATGTCGTGAGTGGAGCCGACTAGAGCCGGGGGTCAGACTAGATGGCCCGGGAGACCCTTCTGACTCACTGTGATGCAGGTGGTGCAGTGGTTTAAACTGCTGTGCTGCTGGGCTGGTTGATCGAAAGGTCGCCGGTTTGAATCTGCACAACAGGGTAAGTTCCCATTGCTCCGTCACACCTCCTCTCAACCTTGCAGTTCGAAAGCATGCAAACGCAAGTAGATAAAAAGGTACCACTTTGGTGGGAAGGTAACAGTGTTCCATGCACTTCAGTGTTTAGTCATGCCAGCCACACGACCATGAAGACTGTCTGCAGACAAACGCTGGCTCCATCGGCTAGGAAACGGACATGAGCACCGCCCCCTAGAGTCAGACATGACTGGACTTTAATGTCAAGGGGAAACCTTTACCTTTTATATATAAAATATTCTTGTAGATTTTTCTGTAAGGTGTCTCATCCAGCTGTGGTATGACAACTGTATTTTTTCTAAAACTATATCCATTAACATATAATCTATTACAGATACTTTGTGCAAGCATGTGGCACACTTGTATTATATCCTGAAGCCTATCAATTTCCAATTTAGTATTCTGTTTAGTGATTTTCCATAGAAAAAAACACAGAACTGTAATAGTGAAACAGCATGAACAAAACTTAAAAGTAGAAGCTAAAGCTTACAATGGAGGAGTGTGGTAAAGGAGTAAGAGAGTATCTTGAGTGAACACAAATGCAAATACTAATTACATTCTATAATAGCCACGTGGAACACAGTAAAATATTTACTTAAACTGCAATCTCATAAGTATTACCCATTCTTATGACTAGAAATCTAATTATGACTATTGAATTTAAAACAGTTCTTGATCTTTCTTGACTTCTGGTATTCCCCAGTATTACTAGATAGTTGCACATTAAAGTCAAGTCAAGTAACTGTATTCTTCATCTTAAATACATAACTTCCAGTTAATAGTCTGCATGTGTTAAAATAATCACAATAAATACTTGTAAATAAATCAGCTGTATAGCTACTGGAGACTGGTTGTTCTGTCATTAATGTATTGTGCATCATAAGGTTCTTAGATGCATAATGTTTATACAAGGTAACCTCACTGTGTGAATCATGCATGTGCATAACTAAACTGATTATTGATGGGGTAATGCTATGAATATTTACTCAGGATTAACCCCAACTGTGTTCAGGTAAGTATGCATAGACTTGCACACTAAAAAAAGTTCTATTTCAGTCACTTTATAACTGGTTCTATTTCTGTCAAATACATACTGTACTCAGATCTTCTAGTTCTGCAGCAGATTTTCCTGTCTTCAAACATACTGTGTTGGTGTCTGTCTTTCCTTTCTCATTGCTTCATTAAGGCATGCTGGCTGTGGCTTCTTGCATGTGTGGCTTCTCTAGCTTATATTCAGAGTCTGTGAAAAAACTTCGCACCTCTTATATAAGTAAGTCATCTCATGACAGCACTGTTATGGGTTGGGTTATATTCATTCCTTGGGTTATATTCATTTGTTAATCTGAAATTATTTTTACATTAAAATGTTTTGTTAAGCTTTTATTATTAATATATTAGAAAGATTGATTCTATCCTATTTATACAATTATATACAGTTATTGTTATACTATCAATATGACCAAAATGTTCTGAGAACCCATCTATTAGATGCCTCTCTTTGGGTTGTCCCAGGGGATGGAGAGCCATCTGATTCTTGTGGGCATGTAGCAGCAATTTCCTGATCCACTCTGTGGCCTGGCCACACAGTGGGCCCTGAAACCAGTTAGCTTCATCATGTGATTTCCAGGAGCAAAGCCTTGGAACAGGCCCTAAAGGGGTTCCTTTCTTTCTGGTCTGCTCCTAGGCCCATAAATAAGGAACCTGGTATACAGCCTCAGCATAGCTATTATCCATATCCTTGTGCACTCTATCTTGTGCTGGCCAAAGGTTAGTTGCCAGTTGATAGTGACTGACTTTTATGAGGTTGTCTCCCACATAGTAATACTGTTACTTTGTTGATAATCACATTGTGTTATGTGTTTCTGTTACAACCCTTTACTGCAGGTGCTAGAGGCATTGGGTCATATATATAGCAGGGCCAAACAGAATGGCTTCCCAGCTGCCCAGTGGTATGGTCAGATCCTTATAAGGCAGGCATAGGGAACCTGTGGCAGATCTAATGTTTTGCTATAGCCCCTGTTGTTTCTGATAATTATCAATGCTGGTTAGATCCCATCAAAATCTGGAGAGCTGCAGGTTTCCTACTGCTGCCATAATGTATGTATGTCCTGCCCCATTAGCCGAAATGGCTGTCTCATGGTAGGACCTGAGGTTGTTGCTTCAAGACAATAAGCATAGCTCATGGACTGGGATGCTTGCCAGATACCAGGTTGCAGTTTTGCGCCATGATGAGCCCAAGATTTCTGCTCTCGTCTCAGCATATCACAGCATGCAGGCTGGAATTAGTAGTATTGATCTACAGTTGGCTTCCCAAAGTTGTGGCCTTTTTTAGCCTACTTAGCGATTACTCCCATTCCTGAATGTGGTGGGGTCTTTTGTAAACAAGAGGTTGCTTCATGTATAATTCCAAAGCATGGTTTATCATTATATGAATGAGCTGGGGCAAGCCTGAACAAAGCCTTAAGTTAATGCCTCCCCCTCCCTTGTAGAACGTCTTTGCTAGCATTTGGTTTCATTTTCTGCTAATCCTACCATGTAATTTATGTACCACATAAATCTGGTTAATTTCTAAAGTTGCCTACTTCAAACCATGAGTTATAAAGCTCCCACTGACTATACTGTAGGTAGAGAGGAGTGTGAGCCCAAAATTTTACTCTGTGCCATTCTACCTTATGCACATATTCCAGAATTGTGGTTTATGCAAACTGATCCCTTTCTGGTTACTGAACAGCTAAGTAATGGAAACAGCATATTTTCATTTTCTAGCACTAGTTCATAACAGGAACTCTTCCTTGGAGCAACTACTGGGCACTAAATAATTTGATTGTACATAGATGTCCTGCAGCTTTGCTTGTTCGTATCTGGTTCAGAGTGACCCATAGTTTTGTGGCAAAGTGTTATTCCAAAATGTAACAAACACTGTTACATTATGCTTTTATGGGAACTTTGACAGGTGTTCCAAAAACTAAATTCGTTTAGAGTGCTTACCAATTCTGACACTAGAAGGAACTTAATAACAATATGTTCATTGCTGATTTTTTCCCCCAGCACGCCTAAGGGTATGTGCTATCCTGTCCTTACACTAGTATCACCTGCTGCTTTGAGTGTAATATGGAATGTGTGTATTATGGAGTATAGCAACACTAGTTTCATAATGTCTTCTTTATCCTGTGTGTCTTGGTCAACCAACCTCCCACCTGCTATTCTCAGTTGACACAGGCCATCCCACAGAGTATCTCCTTCTCATTACCAAGACAATGCAGTAAGCAGGCCACTGCAGTAAGCATGGACGGATAGTCCACAAGGTATTCAGAGCTGATTTCATCCAAGAGGGAATGAGGGAAGACACCAGAGCCAACAAGGTTCAGATACGTGTGGTCAAGGGCAGCCTAAGTATATGCAAGGAGTTCCATCCAAAGGAGAGTTAGAAATTCTTTACAAGATGCAATTCTAGCATAGTAGCATAGAGAACCTTCTAATTATTGGATAGCATAGAAGTGCAATTAAGAAATACATACATAAATACATGCATATATCCTGGAACAGGGAAAGCTGGAACCAGAACAGGAACACTGGTTTCATCAATCCAGCTCCTGACTACCATCATTAAACATACACTGTCAGAAACCTGGTCTGGATCCAGATGCAGCTTGTTAGGACCTTCTGGAAATAGTTCCCTCGTGAGGAGCCCTCCTTACTCCCAAGGACTGTTCTACCGCAGCTGAGCATTTCTGGACTTGAGGAATCTGGGCTGCCTCTTCAGTGTACAACACAGAAGCTTGGGGAGTCTCTCCTGTGACTCCAAAGAGTATCCCCTATTCTTTTTAAGGAGTATGTCCTGGGTGGGCATTACTAAGGGCCCAGTCTTCTGTTTTTAGCAAGTCTTGAGCCTTAATGGCTGCTTGGAGGTTCTGGGTCTTTCTTTCAATTTTGTGATTAAACTACATTCAGATATAACTGAGGGCACTTTGTATGCCATACATCTCCTCACACACAAGGTCCATCTCAACTCAGTTAAACTATCTCTTATTTCCCCCAATTCCCTTCTCCAATGCTGGATAAAAAGGGAGGAACATCATATTGCAGTTTTTCATGTTCATGCAGTGAATGCTTTCTGACTTTGGGGAGCAGTTTGCTGAAATGGATAACAGACATGGAGTAGGGTGTTGGTTCTGAGACCTAACTGTACTACTACAAGCTCTTAGCACAGTGACCAGGAGTCCTGATTAATACTCTTTTATTTCTTAGACTACATTTTGGAGAAATTGTTTCAGAAAATTTGTTTAGAATGTTCTGAATAGAGCTGAATGTGCTTTTATTATTTTTCTTTTAAAGCACTTTCTAATAGTTCCATACAGTTTTGGAAAATGTGACCTGAGTTCTCTTCTGGGTGCATGTGAGCCAAACTAAAATAAAGCTTAGAAAATTTCAGTGAGCATGATCATTCCTGGTCCAGTCATCCCTATAATGTAAGGTTTTAAAGACAGGCTTTTACCTCTTCCTTCAAAAATCTGCATATAATCACCGTGATCTTGCTGAGAAGCAGATACTGGTAATGGTAATGGGCTTTGTGAAGGAATCCTCCAAACTCTACTTCTTTCTCATTTTCTGCCTCATTTACATAAATAGCAGGGAAGTTGTCAGTTAACAAGCAAAGAAAATTTGTAGTATCCAAGAGCACTGCTGTTTAGAGTAGTCAACTGGCCTTCTCTGTGGCTTCAATGGAACACACGCATGGGCTCCAGGACAGCACAGAATCTTGTTTAGGGAACCGTTCCTCCACCATGCAAGTGCACACGTCTTTGAACCAGTTCCCACCCATTCCATCAGTTCCCCTTTATGCTTGTGATTGCCTCAGAGAAGTTTCTCTCATGTCTTTCATGAAGATTCGTTTGTAGAGGTTCTCATTTTTTATTCTTTTCTTCTGTTTCTTACTTTCACTTTCCCCTTTTTTTCCCTATCTCAGCAAACCTTCAAATTACAAAAACTGAGTCGAAGTGTTTGTCCATAAAGGCCTCATGGCATACAAGACTTAAATGTTGCATAAAGGCAGCAAACCTCCTCTGATAGATGTGCACTCCTTGTACTTGTTCTGCCTTGGGGAGGGTCACATTGTTGATATGTGTCCTCATTGTAAGGCCTTTATCATGCAGGCCAAGAGGAACCTTTTGGATGGGCTTTGAGCTATCCAGTAGGGAAACGCCGTGGAATGGGCTGTTACAGCCATGTCAACTGCCACACAATATGTACCTCTGTTGCAGCCTGCCATCCCTCTGATTCAGCCCTTAACTATGTGCCACAGTCTCCCATCACTAGGGTAATCCTTGGCTCTTTCAGTTGTGAAAGCTCAAACCTTCAAATCAGTCTTGGTTAAAGAAGAAGAAAAAGGAGAAAGCAAGTCACAAAGCTTTCTGATACCAACGCCATTGAAATCAGTGGTACTGACAGAGTTAATTCTTGGCATTAGATCTGGTAGTATTGATATGAAAGGGAGAGATTAGAGATCCATCTCCAATTCCAGATCATCCAGGGCACAGAACACTACCTCTTCTCAATCTCAGCTTTCAGATTTGAGCTGTTGAGATAAGTAAAGCCTGGCATATGCTTATTGGCATATGGACAGCCATCTGAGTGGGAAGGTGTAAATTGGTGTCCTGCAACACCAGGGTTTTGGACCTGATGGCCTCCATGGCCCCTTCCAGCTCTACAATTCTATGATACAGCTCTAGATCTCTCCCTCTTTGGATTGGGAGAAACAGTAATAATATTCCCTACTCAGTACTGCACATACTGTTGGGACAATTGGCAGTTTCTGTATCTAGATGTCCTGTCCTATATCCAGTGAGGGTACTGAAAATTAATGTTATAGTACTTGAACCTGTTAGAAGGGCCATGTTAGGAATCTGGCCTTTACTCTCATTGTGATGCTTGATATAAATCGGATATCAGAACCATGGTATTTTTAGGACTCCTTGAAATAAATGTAAAGTAACCCAAAATCATTCAGGCATTTCTTATCCAGGCAGGTTAAACATGTGAGAAGGGAAATGAGCCAGCCCCAGTCCCTACTCACACGTTTCAGTCACCATCTATGTATGGAAGATGACTTTCAAAAACTGTGTCCCACCTGGAATTCTGATTTTGAGTGCCCGTGGGAATAAGGAAAACCAGAATAGCAGCAGCAGTATTAGGAGGTGGTCCCTAGGGTTGGGGCTCTGTATCTCTGGGAGGCCATCTGTCCTACCATCCTACTGTTCATTGGTATCTACTGAAATTAAGATTCAAGGGATGTCTGCAGATCTCTGCTGCATATGGTTGTTGTGGATTCCCTGACTTTTAGACCTCATGCACTTCACTTGTCATGGTCCTCTCCTTTGAATCTTTCTGCTCGAGTCCCTCTCCCAGCAAGTCAAATGTAGTCCTCTCCCACATCCATACACCTCTTTTTACAAATTGGTTTCTCCTTAGGGTCCTTTAAAGACACAGACAGACATTATATCATATGAACATTAGCATGCACATATTTTAAATTTATTTTTACTGTTGATCCTGTGAGCCTGAGCCTCAGATCATTTCAGTATCTAGCTAGCATTGTGTGTAGGACTTTAATTACAAAAACTGTAGCTTCTTTTATGGCTCAGTTATCTGTACTGTAGTGAACAATTAAGTAATGCCATTATTTTTATTATTATATTTATAAATAGCATCTTGTCCTGGTGTCCAAGGTGATGTTCAATTAAATATTATTAGTTATATTAGTGAATATAAATAATTACCAACTAGATCAGCATTTATATTTGATTTGTTGAGATCTTTGTACGTAGAAAAGCTGTTTCAAATTGCTATGTCACTCATTTGTTTCTTTTAATGAAAGGATTTATGCATATCATACCATTCCTTGTATTTAGGTTATGAACCTTAGTTTGCAAGATGTCTTATTTTCAGGGCATGTATTTTCAAATTTGACAATGTGCAATTACATTTGAGAAACTTGAGAATACCAGTTCAAAAACCTGCACTGAAAATGGCTTCTATTCACATCTGCCTTCCTGCATAGTTTTTACACTGAGCTAGCATGTCAAGTCACCTTTGCTAAACTGGAAAGGCTCAGGGCTGCAGCTGGATGGGTGATCGCATGTGGAAGCAAAGCAGAGGGTGTGTACACAATGGTCTTATAGACCCCTTCCAGCTCCTGTCCTGTCCTGTCCCATTTTTCCTGGATCTTTACAATAAAGTTTTTCCTAACACCAGCACTTCAAATGGCATAGAATGTTTCTCAAGACTCTTAGTAAAAATGTCACTAAATAGCAAATTGTTTGTTAGTGGAAACTAAATTCTGTGTATTGTTTCAGTGTCCAGCATTAAAAGTTGTTAATTTAATTTTAAAAAAATCTAAAGGATTCTTTGTCTTTCACAGCAGGTCTTTGTGATATCAATGAAGGTACAGCAGTACAAGAGGATCGTTGCAAGTCTCCCACCTCAGGTAATTAATTGTTCTTGTGAACACTTTAAAACACAATGTTTCTTCAAAATGCTTTGCTCTTTAGTTTTAGTACTCCAGAAGTATTTTTAAGACTTGACTGAACTTTGCAAATGGTTTGTGTGTTGACAGTTTGAACATATAGATGAACATAGGGACACCTTTGCCAGGTGATTGTTAACAGTTGCCTCACGCCTGAGTTATTTATCCATTCTTATTTTTATGTAAATTTATTGTTTAATTGTTGCTAATTGAAATATTGTATATAAGCAGGAAATATTTCAAACTTCATTTCTGTGCATTTTTAGTCCAAGGTAAAGCCTGTTATGATCAGTAAAGCGTATTACTTTGTAAGCGTGCCTAAGACTGTAGCCTTAATGTTCTTGGTATGTTGATTCTGAGAAGAGTAATTTCACAGCAAAGTTATAGGGCAGTGGACAGGGCTTCCAGGGGGACACACTACTGTTTGTGTTGTGCCAGTGGGACACACTGCTGGTGCAACAGGAAACTACTGCTTCTTAGAGCAACAAACTTGTTACCAGAATGGGACCAAGTCAGCAGAATTCCCATCTGTGTACTCCACTGATCTATTTCAGGAACTAGCATTTTGTCTCCTTTCCAGTAGCTTTAGGAAGTGCTAAGCTGGCGTGTGGATAGTATTAGAGACTGCCCATAGGTCCCAGAAATTTTACGCATTCATTTGTAACCCCATGAACAATGAGTTAAATGAAGTTAATATTTTATAATCTGTTACTCTAATTAGAACTAATTGTTCTAGTGCTAACATTTAGATAGAAAGTATACCTTGCAACTGAATCCAAAGCATCCTCTGTTACAAGTCCAATTTAAGCCTCAGTGCTATTGTAGGAACATTTGGTTAGCAGGAGAGAAATTAGCAAAAGCCATGATGCTTTTATCAGTAGGAAAAGAGAAACAAATAGATTAAAGAGAAAACTGATGAGTAGAAAGAATACTGATGTCACTGAAGTTCATCATTTCTTGGTTTATGATACGAAACTGAATGATTAAAATGTTTTCCTAAATGTTAGATAAACCATTAGTTTTTCACTGGCTCAGGTAGTAATTGGAGCTCACATGGAATGTCTTTCTGCTAACCTGACTGTTGGTCCAGCGATAGAGGCAGCTGCTACTGCAGGAGCAATAGAGAGGGAGGGCAATCTTGTCACAGCCTCCATCCGCCCTACTGACTGGAACACTGCTATGGCAATAAGTGGGATTCAGGGAGGAAAGGGCATTGGTTCTGACAGATGACTCTTTGCTCTTGATTTAAATCAGGCCATTTTGAGAATAGCATTACACTGCCAAGCCCAATTTTGCTTCTAATTTAGCATGGAAGGGCACTTTCCACACTAAGTGTTACTTAGAAATGTTACTTATTTATGCATTTGTATGCCTTCTAGGTAGCTTACAGTAAAAAATAACAAACCAATTAAACTCACATTAAAACGTTAAAAAATATCACAATTATACCAAGTAAGCAGAACAACAGATGGCAGGATAAATAACAAGTTTCAAGACTGTTCTTGGAAGTATTCAGAGAAAAGAAATGTCTTTGCCTGGCTCTGAAACAAAATTTCTTTATGATCCTGTTCCACAGGTGAGAGGCAGCCACCAAGAAGGCCCTTCTTCTATTTACTATCTCCTTTATCTCCTTAAGGGACGACTCTTTTAGAAGGACCTCCTGCCCAGTTCTTAATGGGCAGGTAGGTATAAATGGGAGCAGTCAGTCCTTTAGGTAGCCAAGTCCTAAGCCATTTCAGACTTTATTTGTCAGAGAGTCACTTTGAATTGGGCCCAACTTATACAAAACTGGCATTACGTGGGCCCACATATTGACACCTGCCACCAACTGCATGGTTTTGGACCAGTTGAATTCACCAGACCATCTTCAAAGGTTGCCCTAAGTAAAGCAAATTGCAGTTATCTAATCTGGATGTTAATGATGCATGTGTGACGGTGGCCAGGTTCTGTCTGTTCAGGTAGGGGCAAAGTTGATGTATTCACCATAGCTGAAGGAAGCCACCCCTGGCCACTGAGACCACCTGGGCCTCAAGTGATAGTCATGAAACCAAGCTGCAGACCCTGTTCTTTACCAGGAGTGTGACCCCATCTAGGACAGGGTAATGACCCTCCAACCTGTTGGAGCAGTTTCTCACCAACAGCATTTCCATCTTGTCTGGGTGAAATTCAGTTTATTGACTATCATCCAGTCCATTTTTTTATTTATCGATTTATATCCTGCCTTTTTCCTACAAAGGGCTCAAGGCAGCTTACATCTCCTCCTCCATCTTATCCCCACAACAACAACCCTGTGAGGTAGGTTGGGCTGAGAGTCTGTGATTGGCCCAGAGTCACCCAGTTGGCTCCATGGCTGAGTGGGGACTAGAACCCAGATTGTCTGAGTCCCAGTCCCATGCTCTTAACCACTACACCACACTGGCTCTCTTATCAGGCTCACATACCGGTTTAAGACAGAGAGTACCTCACCTGGATCAGATATAAATGAGAGGTAGAGCTGAGTATCATCAGCGTACTGCTGATACCTTAGCCCAAACCTGATAACCTCTCCCAGTGGCGTCCTGTAAATGCTGAACAGCATGGGGGATAGTATAGAGCCCTGCAGAAGCCCTTGCTGGATATGCAAGGAATCCAACAAGTAGTTAGTCAAGATACTATTTGTATCAGGAAATACTCTTTTCTGAAGTAAATTTTTACAGGTAAGTAAAGGATATTGCTAGATAACTTTTAAATAATTCATAAGAAAGCAATTTTAAATCTTTTCCATTTGAATAGGATTGGAAAGTGTTGATGCTTTTCATTTTCTGTAATCTAAGATGAAAATTTATTTTAGTCATTTCCATGATACGTGAATCTTAGAAACTTGCATATATTTGTTTTTGATTTTAATTTAGATATCCCCAAGATTTGTATTAGTAAGCAGTCCTACCGAAATTGATAGATCTTATTTCCTTTTTACTAATATAAGTGCTGCCTATGCAGAATCAGACTAGAAATACATTTTGTCTAGAACTGTTGTCTCCAACTGTGAACATTTAGATTTCTTTGGGAGACTCACAAGCAGAGCAGGTTGGCAGATTCGGTTCTGTTACTTGTATCCATTATACGGTAATGAAAGGTATACTGCCTATGTACGTGGTGTAAGGTTGAGGTTGATGACTCATTTGAAGTATGAAGTAATTTCTTTCTGGTATTGCAAACTCTGCCTTAATCAATTTCTATCCACACTGTTTTTCTGTCACCATTAGGTGGCATATGAGGCTGGGAACATCAGTTACCACCTAATGCTTAGTTCCCCCATCCATGTTCTCACTTGTATGAAATCAGGAAAACTTCAGTAAGAAAAGCATAGCAGAGACCCATTGCACTTTCAAAGGAAGAGTGGCACTTTATCTCCATCCAAGAAGAATTTCACTGGAAGTACAAGGAATGTTGGGTTGACCTTTATAGAACCTTTATTTCCTTCCGAATTAAATTTGACTACTTATGTAATACAGCAAATGGAATTCAAAATATATATTATAAGTCCTGCCATTAGCCTGTGAATACTTCTGTTAAATTGAACTAGCAGCTTAGCTGAATTGTCACCACTGCTGCTACCCGCCCCCCCACCATCCTCTTCCTCTTTCCAATAACATTAAGTAAACTTATATTATTGGCACTGATCTCTGGTCTTCCTACCTTCCTACCTTTCCAATTTTACTGGAAAATTGTGTGACTTGCATAATGTAATGAAAGTAAATCCATGCGTGATAGAATTGAAACTTGGGAAGATCAAAAGTTTGTCTGTCTGTAAGGCAGATGTCCTCATGAAGGGGTGGGGGAAATTGAAGACTCTGCTCTACATGAATGTCCATCCTTGCAAACGTCTGGAATCTGTAAGTCATCTATCCTGTTTACAAGCAATATTTATTTAGTGGGGGCTTTATCACTGCATTTGATTTTACTTAGGACATTTCTTTATACTATTGTAATCTATCAAAATGCTTGGTTTTGAAAAATCTTTTTTGTTTGTTTGAGTGAATATCCATTTTGTATGTCCCTTTGTCTTCACTCATGTAGGTTCTGGTTCCCCCAACTTTTCTGATGATGATCAAAAAATGGATAATTTTATAGAAAAGGGTATAGTATTTTTATTTTTAAAAGTATTATCATTCTTTTCTATAGCTTACCTTTTTAGTAAATTGACATTCTGTATCAAAATATTATTTGCAGTGAAAACCAAAAGCAGAAAATTTTCCAAGATGGTAGCCAGTGATATAGGTAGGAACTAGAAAAATTTTCTTTCCTGCCTTACCCAGTACCTTACTCTATGCAGAGCTTAATCCTGCAGTAAACTATGCAAGCTGCATTGCATTATTTTTAAAATTAATATTCTCCTAACCATAAGCAGTTTTCCTTTGGGCTGATTCTTTACTAATATACTGTGCTCAGTGATTGACGTAATCAAAGAGACTTGGGGTCTTAATTTTCTTCAATGTATATGCACATTCTTCTGCAAAGATTTTGGTTTCTTTTCAGATACATTGAAAGTGTTCAATCCTGTAAGCAGTGCTGCATAAACTGATGTTTAGCACAGGCCCTCCAAGTGTTTCATGCCTTTTCCACAGTAACAAAATTATGATTGTTTAAAGTTTTTTGAGCAAAAGCATGTATACCTCTGCTTCAGAAATAAGTATATTACCACTGGCTCGTCATTGCTAGTTAACATGTTATAACTAAACATGAATTGTAGATGACTTGACAGATTTGCAGTACATGCATTCAGTGGATCGAACACTTCTGTTGTAAGAACCTGGATTAGATGGATCATGAATTAACATATGGGTCAGTAGGGTTTGCATTCTTGCTTGAATGATGATTATTCTGCTTTTATGTTAGAGTATAACATTTGTTGATATATAGGACTTCTGTTTACACAGAAATTAAGAATGTAATCCTATGCCCAACTACCTGGGACTAAATCCATTAGCCTTATTTCTGAGTAGGCATGTATAGGATTGCACTGTAAATTACTGTGCCAATTCCCTGTTGTTACTGTTAAGTGATCTTTTTCTAATTGTTCATATGTAGTGAGATTTTACTAACTATTTATAGGAATGTATTCTTTAATGTTAAGAAGTAGATTATCTTCCTTCTAAATTTTCATTTCCACAGCATGTAGTCTATTAAATTGATTATTTCTTGATCACTTTTTCCTTTAACATCCTTAATTTTCTACTTAGGTCCAGAGTGTCAAAGGAAAATTTATTTATTTGTAAATGAGAGAAAACTAGGAATTGATACAATAATTTGATGAGTGCTGTTCAGTAATTATCTTGCATAGAACTCCGTAGGAATATCAGGTTGAAATTTTTGGACTATGTTAGGAAAAACATATATTAAAATTAGGTTAACAGTGTTAATAATTAAGGTGCAGATATTTTATATAGGACCACAGTGAATGATACTGTTTAGTAACTAAACTGGTTAGGTCAATATTTTTATCACATGCAGTTTAAGTGCTATAACAGTTTTTTAAAGACAGAAGCAATACTCCTTTCTTGTGGCTGGATCATATGTCATTCTCATAATTTTGAACAAGAGAATTGCATGGTTGGCTCAAGTGGAAAGCTGCTTATTTCAGTTATACTGGTTCCCAAGTTAAAGTGATGCTGGTGATGCTAATTCTATGTGATATTGCATTCAATTGTCAACATAAAATGATAGATCTAGTTACAAAGAAATGCAACCATACAACTTGTGTATGAATTAAAACTAAAATCAGATATTTGACTAAGGGAATTTCAACTTGGTGCATTTATTCTTGATTTAGTAGCATAGTAGAAAGAAAGGTAAAAATCTTACAAAACAGTCATCACTAAAATAATCAGCAAGTTATGTTAACTGATGTTGTGCATTATGTTACATGATGTTGTGCATAAGTTCAGACAGATCCACAGGTATATTAATCAGATAGATCAGACAGTCAAAAGTGTAGATTTCGTTCTAAAAGATATTGTATAGCAGATTTTGTTATCTTGCCCTGCTTATGAACTCCTATATTCTCATTCATCTGGTTGGCCACATTAGGCATTGCCTAGACAACTAATTTGCCTTATTCTTCATGACAGTTCTTAAGGTTTGATTACCATGATAATTGGGACAAGCTAATTAATTCAGCTGCATTAGTGTGTAATACACTCCATGAGGCACACATCTGTGTGTACTATCAAACACTGCTAGGTGCAAATTAAATAGCAGTGTAAAACAGCAGAATTGTCACCAACTGAGTACAGTCAAAAAGCGTGTTGAAAGATGTAAACCAAAGGTTATACTTTTTACTCACCAGAGCCCTAGAGTGCTGAGTTGTATTAACTGTATCATGTGCTGTTAGAAGTCCGTTAAAATTGATGAGGGAATATTCCCTCAGTATTCCTCTACTTCTAGTAGTGGTCACCAGCTAAGGAAAATATGAATCCCGTATCCATATGACAGCATTTACCACTCCAAGCGTACTCTCAGCATTGGGGATGTGTGCTTGACAAAACTAGATCCAAGCAAGAGCAGCCTCTATTTCTGACTCATCTATCATGTCATCCAAATTGGATGAATGCAAGTTATTTATCTGCAAAGTTGCTAGCGAAAATTTCCTGGATGAATGTGGAGACAGAAGAATAAGATCACCAACATGGATTCGATAGCATTAAAAAATCACTTTGAAAATTATTTTATAGTGACAATTTGCAAAAATGACTCTGCTCACTTGTCATGAACATTAGTTTTATATGCTTTGCACTCTTAATAGCTACCTCTGATCTTTCAACTAGCTTAGGTACTTGTATACAAGTGGAAGCATTCTATCAGAATGAGGGAAGAAGACTTCTTATGGGTTACATCAATGACCTATGGCAACTGTTAATTTTTGTTAGCAACCGTATCTTGCTATATTCAGAAATAAGCGCACCAATCAAGATTTAAAGTGGTATTTTCATTGGTGTTGACAGTCCAGGAATTGGTGCTGAGAGTCCTTGTCAAGCTAGAAATCCTTTGAGGAGGAATGTGCAGTATGTGTCAAGATGTACTAAGAATTCAGGGAAAAACTTTTGGCCGCTTTAGTTAGGACTTTAAAAGCAGCTGAATGTTCAGTACTGTTACCCTGGGCTATAGTTGACATAGGACTTATCTTTATTTACTGGCACAGTTTGCTAACCATTATCATACTGTTCCCAGTGTCAAACAAGCAAAAAAATTGAGCTACAAAAGAATTGAGACATACTTTTTGAAGTAGTCAGAATATCCTGTGGATTGCTATGGTTGCTGCTGGGCTTGTAGAAATAAGAAAAGGGTAGCAATTTTAAATTACTTATTTTCAAATATGTGTATGTCACCTTTCCATTCAAAAATATTAATGAAGTGGCATAACATCAATAGAAAACCATTTAAAATAAGCACAACAATTAATCCACAGCAGAAAGAAATAAAACAAAAAAGGTAAATAAGTATCAATTATCCCAGTGCTCTTTGAAATAGTGAAGTAACATGTTTGGTGCCCTCAGTGAAGAACCAAGCAAGCTGTCAGACAGAAGGAAGTGTTTGATGGTGGTGACTGGCCAAAAGGAGGAAGGGAGCCATAAGAGCTCTTTCATAGTGCTTTCTGATGTTAAGCAGGTACTGCTACATCTGTGGTTAGCTCACTTGGCAGGGTATATAGCAGGTTGTATGGGATTTGGAAAGGGAAGGCAACAAGTGCACGCTTAAGCAGTTGCTTATGCTCTCTGTGAACTTTGCCCCAAATTCTAATGCCTGGACTTCTTTCAAAAGGCTTCCTTAAAAAATTATTGGATCCGTAATAATAGTTGCTGCTTTTATTGTTATAGTGTAGACCACTTGCCTATAGGTGTGCTGGGCTACTGCATTGGTTATTTGTACTTCCTCTCCTGTGGACTATGTGCTGTTTTCAGTACTTGTTGGTATGCATTTTGAATCTGTATTGTTTTGCTATTATTCAGTATTAAACTCTTTGGTTGTCATGTTTGGCCTGGTGAGGTCCCTATCACCTAGGTTTTTATTAATTAGTAGGTTTTTATTAATATGGTTGGCAACAGTACTAGTGAGTCATGCCTTTGATTAACTTAAGCAATGTCACTTTATTCTTACTGGAGATAACTGGCAAAACCAATGCTGTCACCACATATGGTGTTATGCTGCGGTCACCAGTATCCTTGCTGCTACAGGCATGTGTGCTTTCTTCATATCCAGTGAGAACCAGTGTTTCCACATTTTGCTGACTCCTAGGTTTGGACTTTTTTAGTTCTCTTTCCCTTATTGGTAAGATGTTTGGGATACCTTTGCTTGAATACTTGCTAATGGCTCATGCAAAATGCAGTTTTTAATGTGAAGGTGGGTTAAACTGTCTCAGTACTAATGAGTTCATACTGTTCCCTTGTTCAGGTCTCCAGTAATTACTGAAATTTACACTCTTATCGTAAACTGTGTGGGTTCAATCTTCGTGTATGCACATGTCTTTGTCTGTCTTCCCCAAATGCCACAAAATCTTCATTATGACCAGAGTGGATTAAAATCAAAAATACAATAAAAACAATACAATTCACACAATTAAAATTGTTTTTGTCTAAGTTTATTTTTAAAAGTGACCATGGAAGAGTAACCTGTTTAAAATAATGAAATGATTGAAATACAAAATTAGCAAATTAAAGCCTACAATCTCTCTCAAAACTGTTGTCCTAACAAAATCAAAACCCCTATAATACAACTGCAATATAAATCATCATAATTTTGTACCACATAAAACAATTCAAAACATCAGCCTACAACAAGCTAAATAAAATATAAACATCAACAAGAAAACACGGCAGTACATAGCAACATTAGCTGTCCACCCCCACCCAAAAACCTTGTCTTAATTATGAATTGTGTTAACCAACTTCTTGAAGGAGAGGAGAACCAGGCACATCTTCCATCGGTATGGAGTTCTGTAATATTAGGCACCACTAACAAAAAGATTATGCCCCCATCCGCTAACAACCTAATCCAGTGACAGTGTCTCAGATAGTCATTTCCGTTTGCTGCTTCATGCAGACCTATAAGTACCCCAGATCCAGATTGTATATTGTTTATGGATGTTTTTAAACTTTAGGTGTTGGCCTTTTTGGAAAGCTCTCTTTTTCCTGTCCCTTTCACTTGGAGTACAGTATTATCCTGTTTTATTGATTCAGAAGATTTATCTCCCATTTTTCCCACAAAAAGTTTTCAAAGCAGTTTACAAAAGAACATTTTTTGAATAAAGTAGTTTGCATCGAATGTACATTTTCAGACAGTCAACATGGCTGAGTGAACAGTATACAAAGGTTTTTATGAATAAAATAAACTATAAAGATTGTCAATGAGTTTGGACTTTCACATGTGGCTCTCCTATTCAAGAATAGGTGAACTGACTCCTTTACCATATGCCTCACGTTTACTCCTCAGGTTTTGTCTGTCCTATCATTGACAGTAGGGGCAGGAGCAACCTCTTGCTGGAAACATGTCTGCACCCTCCCCATACCAAATCTAGAAGTAATTACACTGTCAGGAGATCAAGAATCCTTCTGCCAGCCACTTCACTATGTTGGAGAATTATTTGTGATGGCAGATAAATTCCCTATAGAAAGGGTTTGATGAAGACCCCTCATTTGCCAATGTCACTAATGGCTGTTTTGGCCTTGGCAGTGAAGCAAAGCATACTATATTAACCTATAAGCTATGCATGGTGTTCCCACTAGCCACAGGAATAACATTGCCACAGCACTACTCTTTGTGGCATTTTAACTTTGCTGTGTAATTGAATGAAATGTTTCTAAAATATTTTCTAAATTTTTCTAAAACTTCAGCTACTGGTCACTCAGACAGTTGACAGTTTCCTACAATTTTTGCCATGTCAACATCCCAGTGTGCTGGTAGAGCCAGCTGAGAAAGATGTTTATAACCTTGGTTCATAATATTTACTTACATTTACTGTGAGGCTAGATTTTGGGGGAAAATCTACACACAATCATTATGTAATTATGCACCAAAATAAAGACATGATAGAACATAAGAAACTTACATATTAGTGTCTCTTAATTCCAGAGAAGGTAATTATCATAAACGCATAGCACATTTATAATTCAAACTTAATTCAAATGTATGTATAAATTTGCAGACCTTCCATGCTTGGAACTATTGTATATGAATTCTTAATTTGAAAACTGACAGTTTTAATTATTTCATATACTCTTTTAAAATGTGATCATTCTAGCTTTATTATAAAACTATACATTATTTTTCAGCAAAGATGTCTAGAAAATTAAGCTTACCAACTGAACTGAAACCTGAGTTAGGTAAGTATTGTTCAAAGCCTGTATTAAATATGTTTATAATCTTTGAAAAGGCTATAAGTAACAAAATACACATAGTAAAAACTTTGAACTTTAACTTCTTAATTAGGAGACTGTCCATTTACCTTTCAAGATTTCAAAAGTTGTTTATATTCAGTGCATGTTTTAAAAAGTTTTTAACATATCTGTCTGGAACTATTTTTTATGTTCCTTTTTGAAAGTCATTTTAAAATTTCACTGACAGAAGTCTTACAGTTTTGGTCACTGATGATTTTCTAAAATGTCCATAATTCATATTAGGATGCCATATGAAAAACCACAATGCCATCAATAAATTCTTCAACATGTTTTGAAACTAGTGCCAGTTATGGTTAGAATGTCAAACTAGGGCTGTTCAAATTACATTCAACCATGAATTCAATGGGTGACCTTGTTTCTCAACCTACTTAGTGCCAGAGATTTTTATGGGGAAAAAGGGGCAGGAGATGAGTCATATATGCCTTCTTAAGTTCCTAAGAGAGAAATAGGCTATAAATATAATAGTTACCTACATAAGTAGGCTGATGCTTAGACTACTTAATAAATATCAATGAAATCTTTTGTTTTTCCAAGTGGAGCCTTAATTATATAGAGTGTACATTTCTTGAACAAATTAAGTACCTTAAGACAACTGACACCTTTCTTTGCTATTCATAACAATAGTGTATTATTGCTTTGATGTATACCCTATTTTATAAACTTAGCCTAAGAGCCAAAGAACTGCCTTTGATAGCTTCACTGATAGCTTGCTATTTTGGAGAGAGGTTCAAGAAAGCTATCTGAAGTGCCTTTAGCTTATGGGACCACTTCATGGTTCTTCAGATACAGTTCTTAATAACCTGGCCCCTGGTTTTAAATTCCATGGGAATTTAGTTTAACATAGAGCTTTATTGTGCACTTCCATTGATCTTGAATGAAATATTGTAAGCCGTCCTGAGAACTTGTATAATAGGACGGCATACAAAAGCTTTTAATAAACAAACACACAAATATTAACATTTAAAACTAAATCCATGTGTATATATATTAGTAGGATAGTGATTACACTCATTTTAAAATCTGTTTCTTTCTTGAACTGTGTATCAGCAAATTTACATGCCTGTTGAACCACTCATTATTTTGCTCAGAAAATGGAACTGGAATGTTCTCACGCTATAAAGGACACAAGAAAGGTTCATGTAAACTAAAAGTCAAAGAGGCAGAATTCAAGAAGTCACACTCATCCCCTAATTTCAGTGAGTTTATAAGGCTTTTGGTTAGTTTCTCTTGTTCTTGGAATAAGATATGTTCAAGATTTTATCTTCAAATTTGAAATATATCTTTGGACATCTTTTACTGACTCCTTTGTTTCTTATGTAATTCTTCTTTTACAAGCAAACTTGCTAAATACAAAAATCACTACATAATATGATTACATTTAAAATTTGAATGCTAGAATTTGATTTTAAACTGAGAAGCATTTTGAAAAGGAGAGCTATAATCAATAGTGGAATTTAATGCCCAGAATTTAATAATTCTGTTCATATTTTTCAGTGGATGTAAGATCTGAAAAATATTGTTACACGGATTGAGCTATATCACAAAATCCAGCTGTGTTCTCCTCTAGGGTGCTCTCCCTGGATATATATATTGGCACTGTGAGAGAACAATGCTGTGTGGGTCCTTCTTGTTCCATCAACATAGAATAGTGGGTGCATTCAACAAGATGGCTTAGCTTAGCAAGATACCTAAGCTCCTCTTGAGGCACACTAACCCATCATAAAATTAGGGACTCTCACTGTTCATAAAGTGAGAAGTACCCATTTATTTATTCTTGGAATAGCTATATCAAGTCTTCTGCCACACACATTAAAACTTCAATTTTGAAAACAAATTAGCCCTTCATTGTTGAACATAATAAAAGTATGCAATATAATTAATAGAAGTGGCAAGTGATTTTTAAAAATCAACAAAAACCTTTTGGAAAAGGCATCACATAAAAGGCCCTTTCCTGTGTATTTACCAGATACTGCCATGTTTTTATCCTTATACTGTAGAGACACTAAACTAAGCACCCCTTCCCATGTATATTCCAGAACATCAATGGAATCAATTCCCTAAAAATTACATTAGAGGAAGCCTCTAAAAATTACATTAAAGAAAGCCTCTGATGTTTGCAAAAACTTAAAACTAGCAGAAGCTTTGGGAAGATAGTGAACAAATAACTGGCATCCTTCCTTGCAGACAAATTGTTACCTGAATTCTTTTTAAATGTGTTCCAGCTATGCTACCTATATTGTATTAATGTTGTTATTTAGAGAAGTGTACCCTACATTTACTCTGCCACCATCACTTCACCTATCTCTCCATCTCTCTGCAGTAGGATCTTTGGGTGTTAGTGCTGTGAAAGTATATGTTCGAGTGTCTGGGCTTTAGTTTTTCTTCTGCAAACCTGTCAACTCACTTTGCTTTGTACTTTGTTCCTTTAGATAAATTGCATGAAAATTAATACCTTCTTAATTTGTATCAGTGCATTTTTATTCTCTACTAAAATTACAAAAATTAGTTTAATAAAACATAATGGTAAAAACTATTTATCTAAAGTGAAATAGAAATTAATAGCTGTGTGTGCCTTCCATGGGTATATGGCCTGTGTTGGTGTGTGTGTTTGTAGAAAGAGAAAAGGATACTTGAACAACATTTGTATGGTCTTCTGCTATACTGCTATACAAGGGTGGAAAAAAATCGTTGAATCCAAACATTGAGTTCAGTTTTGGAGAAGCTCCTAGGGATCACATTCCAGTGGTGGGTGGAGGCCAAAGGCAAAGGAGGTGAGACCAAAGGTGAAAAGAATACGAATTCTTTTTAGAAAAATGAAAGATATTTTAGCTTAAAACTCTTATTTCCTTAGGAGCCACATTTTAAATTTTAGAACGAGGAACTGTCTATACAAAAGGCAGAGAACTGCCATGTGATTGAGAGTCCAGGGGAAGAGGGATGGACCTGAATAAAGGGATATGTCCATCTGGCGACCACAGGAGACTGGATTTGGCCCCAGAACATAAAGTTCCCCAATCCTGATCTAGTATCACCTTGTCAGAGAAGAGGTTTGAGAATGCCTGCAGTGATGCATCAGGCAATATTTTAATATGTTTTCTTTTTTTTTAAGTTACCGTATCACAATTGCCTTTTGTCCTATCCAGAAATATAACTGTGCATTAAGAACTAAAGTACAATATATACTCAGAGCCATTCCTCATGTACATGGTAAAATATCTACATTTGTTATTGTGTCTGCACCTGACAGGGATCTATAATGATTGCTAACTCTCTTATAGGTGTACCTTTTGTTTCCAAAAACATTTATTTCATTCACATTCTGTCTTAAAGGGTGAAAGGTATGCAGTTTAAAAGTGTTCATCTAAAAATGTAAGATCACTTCCTTGAGTCTTTAGAGATGCCATACATAATGAACCTGTTTGTAAAATATTCCTTAGAGTATTAAGTATAGACTGAAATGCTCATTTGGAGTGTGTTTAATTAATATGTAATATTTCAGATGTTAGAGACAACTCCTTCAGCCGATCGAGGAGCTCTAGTGTAACCAGCATTGATAAGGAATCCCGAGAAGCAATTTCAGCTCTTCACTTCTGTGAGACTTTCACTCGGAAAGCTGATACGGCACCTTCACCATGTTTGTGGGTTGGTACTACTTTGGGCACAGTTCTAGTCATAGCATTGAATTTACCACCTGGAGGAGAGCAAAGACTACTTCAGCCAGTAATCGTATCTCCCAGTGGTATGTATTTAACACAAAACAATGAGCTATCAAGACTGTGGTTTTACTGTTATCCCAAGATACTGCAGGGTTGTCATTCTTCTGGTGTTTTGTAAAATACTGTTAGTTATTTTATGATCATGATGGCAATCTGTACAGGCCAAATAAGAAGGCTATCATCTTGGGAGAAATGCAGTAGAATGGCAGCAAAAATCTTCCTGACTTCAGTTTAGATTTTGCAGAAAAGGAGATGTTTTGTGTGAGAATTGTGCTTGTGGTATTTAATATCTCTTAAATCTTATTCATATGCACCCAAAGAAGTAAATGTGTGTGTAATCATACTTAAAAGATAGTAGGTAGGTGGCTAGGTAGGTAGGTAGATAGATGTGCTGAAATCATACAATTGGTTCCTGTAGATCAGGAGCAGCCAACATGGTATGTACCCTCCCAGAGTTTTGGACTATAACACTCATCTGCTCCAGTCAGCATGGTCAATGGTCAGTTACTTGTTCAAAACATCTGAAGGACTCCAGGTTTACTGTTCCTGCATTAAATCAGTGTTGCCTGCTGGCAGTAAGAAGGATGGCTGCTTTGGGCACTCATTCTCAAGGACTGCTGGATGGGATTCATCACAATAAGAATGTGAAGCAGAATGAAAGGGAATTTAGATGTGCCAAGACGCTGAGATGAAAGAAGCAGAGGAGCTTATCTCACAGCCAGCCTTCTCAGTGGGGGGCGAGGGGCAGTTCTTGGGAATATTCAAGATATCCAGTGGGCAGGAAGGGACCCTGAATATGAGAGTTTCTTAGCCACAAACCAGGCAGTTCCAGCTCTTGATCTCATGATGAGGTGTCAGTAGAAGCAGACTGTCCAATTAGATCATGGGTCCTCAAACTGCAGCCTGTGGGCTGGATCCATCCCGCCATGCTCATTTATCTGGCCCTCCTCAGAGCTTTTGGACTCACTCTGAGAAAATGATCCCCAAGTGAGTCCAAAAGCTCTGAGGCAGTACAGGCATTCATTGAAAGTGAGCAGAGAGCCAGTGCACATGCAGTTGAGCTTTTACAATTAGGCACATGCGCCAGCTTCTCCCCCCCCACCAATTCCATGCATATACAGAGTGGAAATATGGAGCAGGAAACAGAAGAGAGGAGGGCTCTAAAGGATTTTAGCAAAGATGCTAAAAAAGGATTGAAGGTAAGAAAAATACAACTTTTTAAAATCCATTTTTAAGTCCCTCTAAGCATCTCCTGTTTGCATTAAGTCAGCTTGTTCATTTAAACCAGTCAGCTTTTTCCCTCTGTCTGCTAGCCAGCCTGAGGCTCTTGTGAAATTTTCCTCTCCACACTTCCTTGTTGAGAAACAAGGCTGGGGGTGGGGGTCACTTTTGCTGTTTCTTTGAGGGTTTCTTTAACAAATTCAAATCCCTTGGTAGGACTAGATGATTTTCCACTGTCCGCTGCACAGAATTGTCTTTTGGGGGCTTTCTGTTTCCTTGTTTTTAAGGAGTAAAACTCGCTCTGATTGCTCTTTAAATTGGCAGCAGTAGCAGTGTGAGGGTCTTGAGAAATTTTCCTCTCCGCACTTCCTTGTTGAGAAACGAGGTTGCGGGGGGGGGGGGTGTCACTGTGCTGTTTCTTTAGTAAATGTTTTCAAACTATAATCCTGACCCCCAACAGTCTGAGGGACAGTGAACCGGCCCCCTGTTTAAAAAGTTTGAGGATCCCTGAATTAGATTATCAGTGTGCAGAAAGAGGCGTGTTTGATTTCAAAAGGCCCCTCCTGGAGTGATAGGTCATAGGTCCAAGTGGAACCACCAAGAGCATCCTATCTCTGTGATTACAATTCTGTCATTGGAGAGTTTCATTCATGAGTATATACACTATGAGACTTCTGTTCAATATCTGCTTCTTATTGTATGGAAAAATTATATAGGAAATAAAATTCTATACTTTTTCACCACATTAATTTCAAGCTTTTAAATTCAAAATTTGAATAAATTTAAAGTTTTGAAATTCCTATAAATTTTAGTTTTCATCAATTGATTTGGATAAATATTAACACTTGAGCTTGTTTCCCAAGCCAGCTTCAAGAAATTAGGCAGCATGATCCGAGGTCTGTTTTGTTGGCTTTAATTTGTAGTAAATAATCTACTGTTCCTAATTGCCGGATACATCTGCTAGAAGTATCATTTTCCTTTAACAGCAAGGATTAAAATATAGAATAAGTAGATATCTTTGGGAGAAAGTTGTTCAAACTTTAATATTTTATTAAAATTATTTTAATGTATGTATATGATGTATTTTCACATGGGTTCACCAGTATGATGCTTACTTAAAAGAGTGCTTTCTTTAATTACATGTACTGCTTGAAGACTCCAGTTCAGAAAGTTTGTGTTTTGAGTAGTGGCATATTATATTGGAATCACTCATTTTAAGGCTGCCTTTCAAATTACATTTATTTCATTAAAATACATTTTGAACTGGGAGGTCACATTTGGCTGCACTTTTTTAACCAGTCACAAATTGTAAAGATATTTTAGAAAAGTTAATCAATTTCTGTATCTTAGGAACCATTCTGAGGCTTAAAGGTGCAATCCTGAGAATGGCTTTTCTGGACACTACAGGATCATTAGTTCCACCAGCATATGAACCCTGGAGAGAACCCAATGTTCCTGAAGAAAAGGATGAAAAGGATAAGTTGAAAAAGCGCCGACCTGTTTCAGTGTCTCCATCTTCCTCTCAGGAAATCAGTGAAAATCAATATGCAGTGATATGTTCTGAAAAGCAAGCAAAAGTTATTTCGCTACCCTCACAGAACTGCACTTATAAGCAAAATATAACAGAGACTTCATTTGTCCTTCGTGGAGATATTGTGGCACTGAGTAACAGTATCTGCCTTGCTTGTTTCTGTGCCAATGGACATATAATGACTTTTAGGTAAGATATTAAGTAAGAAAAGAAAACACACACACATCCACACAACATACGTGTTTGCCAAAAATAGAAAACATTACTTGAGAAAAACATCTTAAGAGAAATTTTAATGGTAAATATTGTTGAAGCTTAAACTGTGTGCATAAATTAAATGAAAGAAAGGCTATTTTATTCCTATTTTGCTTTTTCCTAACACCGATTTTTACAAAATGCTCGCTTTGTAACAAGAGCATGTGTAATGCAATGGGCCATGTGAATCCTCCAGTTCATACTGAACATTGTATAAGTGACTAGGAAGAAATAGAATTACAAGTTGTACTCCCTCACGTGTACCCTCAATGATGGCCCATTTGTAAAGCAGCCTGTAAGTTACTTAACTTGGATGATCTAACATGCTTCTTTTAATAGCTTGATGGGGCTTGACAAGTTGATGAAACTACTTAAAATGCACTGTGAAGCTTTTAAAATCATTGTTTGGGATTATATCTTAACATGGGCTTAATTTAGATAGCATATGAAAGCAATTGTTTGCATTAACCATGGTTTGTAATCTAGGCATTGTTTTAGGTTCCAAAGATAAGGCAAACTATCATTTGAATGTTTGTCTCCTTCCCTCTTCCATTCAGTTCATTGTGATCAGTTTTGTCAAGTCAGACAATATACCAAAACATAGCACAAAGATTACACAGGCAGAAGGTTGCTCAGCCAGCCAATCTTTCCCCCCACTTTTTAGCCCCTGCTGCACCAAAAAGCCTTTCTGAATGGTTGAAGGAGCATCCAAAACATAGTGAGCTATGCTGAGCATAAAGAAAGATTAAAATAAGTTGGAGAAACCTTGTATCAGTGGAATGAATTTTAGCTGCTGGTGCAAAACATCTAGACCTGATTTGAGAAAATTACCCTACTTCCTTTACAGTTTCTGCCAATGCTCTCCTGGTGGCTTCCCAAGCCTATGAAGAGATCTTTGGAGGAAAGAGAATAATTGCTTGTTCAAGTAGCCTTCTGCTTACCCCACCTTTTGTGTCCCATCACGTTTTGCAGATCTTTCTGTTAGTTGCCAATGATATTTTATCCGACTAACCATAATTAAACTTTTCTTATCCATGCTTTGGCATGGTGTCTGAAGTATAGTAGCTCTTTTTCTAAACAATATGCATTGGGATATATTAGTTGACCTATGCATAAAGAGAGTCTAAGTTACCTGTTTGTAAAGGGAGTGTAAGTTTCTTTATGCATGTCTATTTATTTCTTTGTCCAAAGATTAGGTATACAGGCGTTTTTGAGATCTTTAGAAATAAGAGACAGGAATTCAGATTGGCACTAGAGAAGACTTAATATTGTGGTTTAATGTGTTGATATACCTTTCTTTGCTTAATATCTATATGATGGCATTTCTGTGTCAGCTGATCAGTGGTGTAGTGAGAAATGTTGGAAGTGCAACTGTGCCTTATTACAGTCCTGATAACCAAGTTCTCAAGATCAGTCCAAAAATTCAGGCAACTCTGTTGGTCCATATAAACAACCAGTTCTTCATGGTCTCTGCATCACACATATTGACACTGTGCCTGCATGAGCCTGTTATGGGGAAGATTCAATAGCTGAGACAGTTTTGGCAGCAAATCCTCCCCCACCTTGGCATCTATATAAAAGGAAGGAGTTCCTGCCATTTCTTCAGTTCTTCTTCACTTACCTTTGGTGCCACAGGAAGTTCTGTCCTGTTATCTCTCTTTACAGTGTTTCTTCTATCTTTTTTAACTTCTTGATACTTTGAAGCATCTTTCTCTTAGTCTCCCTCCTTTTTTTGAATCCTTGTGCATTTTCTCTCCTAACCATTTTATCTTCCTTCAAAATAAATTAATACAAAAAAGACAACATATTCTTTGTCTTCTCTGCCTGCATCCCTTTACTTGCTTTTCTGCCTTACCCATAAATGCATCCATTATGCATCTTCAACTAGAGAGTTCCAGTGCCATGCAGAACTGCCCAGTCAATTCTTCACCATCCCACTGTTCAAGCTGTCCTGCACTGTCTCTGTCCAGCCCATCTTCGCTGACAAACATTGAGAATTATGAGTCTGAATGAGGATGAGGACACTTCCCCACCAATACAACCCAGCTCTTTTCTGGACAAGGCTGTAGATGCTGCAGACCCTGCCTCACCATCAGCTTTCCTGGGCAGCTTCATTGAGTAGATTCAGCATACGATCCAGGTATCCAGACACAACTGCAGGCATTAAAATATTGGATGGTCTTTGATACCATGCAAACTGAGGAATTGATGCCAGTTGCCAATTCCTTACCTTCCTACTTTCCTGCAGACTTCCCAGCAGTCATGGAAGGCTCTTCATTGATGACCCCAACATTGAAATGGTTGGAGGACATGGTCTTCCTGCTGCTTACATCTCAGCCCAAACCTCCTGATGACCTCTCCCAGTGGTTTCATATAGATCTTGAAAAGCATGGGAGATAATATAAAGCCCTGCAACTATCTCCCAGCATCTCCTTCTGGACACGGTCAACCAGGAAGGATCAGAAGCAACGGAAGGCAGTTCCTCCAACTCCTAATTCAGCCAGTTTGTCCAGAAGGACCATGTTCAATGGTAGCAAAAGCCACTGTGAGAAATCTAGAAGAATCAATGGTGTCACACTCTGCCTGTCCCTCTCCCAGCAGAGTTCATTTTACAGGGTAACCAAGCCGGTCTCTGTCCTGAACCCTAGCCTGAAACCTGATTGAAATGAGTCCAGATAATCTGCTTCCTCCAAGAGCTGTCTGGCAGCTACTTGCACCAATATCTTCCTCAGAAAGGGAAGGTTCACTACCAGTCAGTAGTTGACAAGTATCCCTGGATAGAGGTTTGGATTTTTTAAGAAAGTTCCCTTTTCTCAAGGAGATGTTAAGAGTCTCCTGGATCCAGGGGTGAACCTTAGATTTTCCAATGATCCATGATGGGCAAGCATCAAGTGGGCAGGTGCTATGATGAACAGAGTCAAGTACATTGTCCACATTCTTGGGCTGCAGTAACTGAAACTCATCCAGCAAAACAGGGCAAGAAGACAGTGCTTTGAACACATCCCTATTTGGAACTGAAACAACTGTGGAATCCAACTCATGGCAAATCTGAGCTATTTTTTCTTCCAAATGTGTAGCAAATTCATCACAAGTCATCCAAGGGATCTTGAGTCACATCTGGCAAGCCAGATTGCAAGAGACTCTGAACCACTCAGAATAGTTTATCTGGACAGCACTGTGAGGAAGCAATATAGGTGGCCAAATACTGTTGTTTTACATGGAATAGGCTTGATAGTGACCTTAAATCATGATTGGTCAGACTCATCACAGGATTTCCCCCACTTTCTCAAGCTGTTTCCCTTCTCATTTCATTGCCCTAAGCTCCTGTGCATACCATGGAGCTGGCTGGGCTCTGCCAGAATGAGGAGGTGCTTAGGTGCAATCATGTCAGCTGCCTGAATCATCTTGTAATTACAGGGATACCTGGGTTTCGACAACAGCGCCTACCATATCAGCTGCAGTGCCTGCCATATTTTCCAGTGCTTTCTGGAATCCATCCAGATCCATCAGTCTTCAAGGGCGGACCATTCTAATAGGTCTTCCACCCTTATGGAAGTAGGTAGGTCCCACTAGTCTAAATCTCACCATGATCTGACCATAACAGTGCCGTTAAAGTTATCCCTGCCACATTAGGGTCCTCCTGCCCCATTGAAAAGACCTGGTCACGAGTGTGACCTTTTCCATGCATTGGGTCCACCAGGAGATCCTTGAACAGATTGTAGCAGACTTCCAGAAATGCTTCTCTGTATAGTCTGGTCACCTTATTTCAGCACAGCTTGAAGGGATCATCCATCAGAATCCACCTAGCAGCTATTTCTTCACAACATAATCCAGGCTTGTCGGTTTTTCATACCCATTGGTTTTTTTCAACACAAGTGAGTAGGAATTTCCTGAAGGGAACAAAAAGCATCCTCCCACTTACTTGTCCCTGTCCATCTGCACCAAGCATTATTTCCTTGACATTCATGCCAGAGTGTTTGGACAGACTCTGCATTTGGGAGAGCAGTCCTGTCAGAGATACGCAGATGACAACATCGCCCCATCACCCATGCATGGGTAAGCTTGGTAGTCACTCATATGTGTGATGCACAGAGACCATGAAGAAGAAAGGCAGTTACCTGTAACTGTCATTCTTTGACAGATCATCTGTGCAATCACACCACCCACCCACCTACCACACTGGGTGTCATTAAGTGACATACAATTTATATCTGTATCTTTATCCTTTCTGTTTTTTCCCCCCTTCTGTAATGTGAATATGGTACTTCTTTCCTGAATGTCAGAGTTGCTGCCGCTGCTTTTTTTTCCAGTACTGATTCTGCATTCCAGTTCAGCTCTTTTTATGATGCTGTTTCCTAATGAGGGATTGGTGCAATTTCACTGAATTGGTTCAGTAGTCCCAGTCCTCCCTTGGTTCCAAGGTCAGTTGCACTAAAGGTGAAGGAAATGATGGGAACCCTTCCCTTTTATATGGATACTAGCATGGGGAAGGGGTTCCTGCCAAAACACTCTTAGGGCTTAACAGTCTGCATGGAGGTGCAGAGCTCATATTTGTGAATGCACAAATGACCACTCAAAGAATGATAGTTACAGGCAAGCAACCTATTTTTTCTAGCATATTTCATCTCTATCAGGAAAGCTAATGGGTTTAATTGTCCATTCAAGATTAGGCCACACTGATATAATTTGCATTACAACAGGAAACAATATATTGGTGCTGAGGAAAAATTATTTCTTCCCAGCTGCTGTGAGAATTACAGCTAAACTAAGCTAGGGAGGGAACAGGAAAGTCTTGAAAGGAGTAGCAAATTATGTCACTGTGCTTGCTAATAGTGTTAATGCTGTGCCCCTGAGAGCCCTTGGTCTGCTACAGCACTTCACTTTATACATAGAGAATGTCAGCAGAATTTAAGCATAATGGTTCTCATATATATTTGAACTGATATTTAGGGGAAAAACTATTTCCAGCTACTTCTATACTTCTCTTTACTTGCTACCCACTCTATCTTGCTCAAGTCAACAAAATCTTGAGGTGGTTTCCAATTAACTTCCATCAGCAGAATGCAGAAGGGACAATTCTTACTCTGCCTTGAAGCCCTCCCCCTATGTCCCTAAAAATCTCCTTGGGGCTGAGAAGGAAAAATCTGTCACGGGTAAATTGTACCCCTAGGATTTGAGAAGAAATGAATGGATTGATTTGTATAACCTGTAAAACCATAAATAGTTTGAAGATTATACCTATTTATACCCAGTGTCTATTATGTTATGCCTAATGTCTATCTTGCATGACCATGAAGAGCTGAGAGCACCTAGTTAACAATATTATTAGTGCACTATATCTGAAGAAGTATGATTAGTTTCACCAATGATGTGGTCATAATTTTTCCATTTTCTATTTTCTTTTCAGAATTTCTTTTCCTTTTTGAAGTATCTTTTGTTTTCAGTCAGGACGTAGCAATTACCAGTTTGAGCTTTTCTCTGGTATGACTTTTAGGAGCCTATGTTAACTATAATGTACTATGATATTGGTGTTCCATCCTAGAAAGTAAAAGGAATATGCCCTGAATTAGAAGTACTACAGGGATGTTTTCTTCATTGCCTAAAATACAAACAAATGAGCAACTAGTACTTTGTGTCCAATGAGACTCTGGGTTTCAAAAAGAAATATGATATATATTTTTACTTTTTCTGCCAGGCTGAACATCTGGGGCAATCAGGCTTGAAAAATTTGTCTTTGGGGTGTTAAAAAATGAAGATGATGATGATGGAGGAAGCTTAGTGCACAATAGCAATATTTTTTCCTTTTAAGAAGCTTGCTTATGCTGTATTTCAGTTTAACACTCCCCCCCCCCCACTTTTCTTTCAAGTTTGCCAAGTTTAAGGCCGCTGCTGGATGTATATTACTTACCACTTACCAACATGCGGATAGCCAGAACATTTTGCTTCACCAACAATGGGCAGGCATTGTATCTTGTCTCACCTACAGAAATCCAGAGAATCACCTACAGTCAAGAAACGTGTGAAAATCTGCAGGTAGAAATTTAAAATGCTGCTATATTTTTAAATTGGAAATCATTCCTGAAATAGTCTTATTATTCATATGATCAGGGGAAAGGATTGGTGGTGGAAGAGAATGATTATATTCAGCTGACGTGATCTTGGAAGACATGGGAAAAACTACTTTTGATTCATTGGATCATCACAAGTCATATCAAGTTTGATTGAGCCAATGATTTTTGTCCTTTAATTGGAAAATTGCAACTCTGCTTTATAGAGAGAAAGAGCTAGTCATTAACTAACATTCTATGACAAAGCAGAAGGGCTGACACTTAATCTTGCATTTAGGTGGTGGTGCATAACCTCAGCCAAGATTCAGCCCTCTTGGGGTCCCAACTTGGTCCTCCAGGATGGCTGTGCTCCTTCCACTGCAACACTCGCTCGTTTGGTGTTTTCCTGGCTTCTGACCACTTTTTTCCCATTCTAAAAGATTGAAATGTCCCTACTAAGGCTTGCTTACTGGCATCAAGAACTTTAAGCTAAAATCTGTTAGTATTTTCAGCTCCGCACTTACGCCCTGCCTACCACCACCTGAATACAACCCCTGAAAACTACTCTAAAATGAAAGTTAGCCCTTAGACGAATGAAGTTCTGCTTAAGGTTTGAGTTTATACAAAATATCAATGAGGCAATGTGTATCTTAGTATGATGTATATTTTACTATTTGCAAAGTCAAATGTTATCTTTGACCCAAATTTTGCAGTTGTCAGTTCATAACCTAAACCATTAACCAGTTAGATATCAGTTAGGTGTCTGTATAAAACCTACTTGTTCAGTCAGTATAGAAATTGTTAGTGTGTTTCTACAGTACAGTGTGTTCTGTACTCTAGTTCAGCCTTTCCCAGCTTGGTGCCTTCCTGAAGCTTTGGACTAGAATTCCCAGGATTGCTGACCATTGAACATGCTGGCTGGTGCTGATGGAAGCTGAAACACCAAATATCTATTGGGCAACAGACTGGGGAAGAATACTGTAGTTGAATCTGAATACCCATATACACACAGTAATGCTAAATATAATGCATTATATTGCAGTAAGATAACATCTCTTATTTAACTTGTATTAAAGCTTTCATTTTCTTCCTAAAACTTGCATTTTAATTTTAAAGCAAATTGAAAGAAAATGGATCTGAAATTACCGTATGTCTTGGGAATACTTTTTTTTTCAAAAAATGTATGCTAAATTAGCATTTTATCCAGTGATGTCATTCTAGTTCAAATGGTACTGCACTAACAAAATATGTTACAAAGTATGCATAAAAGGAAAAAGTAAACTGCAGCTGTCATGTGCAGGTGCTAGCAGAATTTATGTTTACAGAGTGGTCCATCAGTGCTTATACAAGTGCTTGATAGGGAAAGGCAAGCAGAGCTGCATTCACACAACAGTTTCTTCAATTGATGGTGCACTGGATTTAGGCCTTAGTTTGAAGCAAACTTATGGAATCTATGATGGTTGAAAATGACTTTTCTTTAAAGGAAATGTTGGGTGAACTCTTCACACCAGTAGAAACACCAGAAGCACCAAATAGGGGTTTCTTCAAAGGCCTGTTTGGAGGTGGTGCACAATCGCTGGACAGAGAAGAACTCTGTAAGTTCACTACTTTAAAATGAAGTATGAAGACAGGCAAATTCTACCACTTAGTCATACAGTAAAGTACCCTATGATGTTAGTCACTAATTGAGATTAGTGTAACTTACCGCTACATACTGCTGTTAGAATATTGCTTCCCACTGCAGCTATGTATTATAGAGTCACCTATTTCTGATGAAATTCTTTATGGATTCATGCAGTGTTCACAAAGTTCACTCATCACAATTGTTTTCTGAATACCATTAGCCATTTTCTCAGTTAGACATGAATTAGATATTCTTTTATTAAGATAATATATATTACATCTTCCTGTTGTTATCACTATACCAAAATCAGATTACAACATTAAAATTACAGATAAAAATAGTGGTGCTATTAAAACAATAAAAATACAAGATAGAATATGCAACAGAATCAAACATCCAATATAACACAGGTTACAATCCTATATAAATCTACCTGAGATAAGCCTTACTGAATGTAGTGGAACATATTTCCAGGTAGTCATAAATAAGATTGGACTATAAGTTTACATAAACTACATTAAAATAATGCAGCTCAGCAGGCCAACAACCTGCTGGAAGATAAGTATCTTCATAAAATGATGGCAGGTCAGGAGGGAACACCCAAATGAACCTCTCAAAGCAAGGAATCCTACAATCTGGAAAAGATTAGAATTAGACACATCTAAGCTCCTAGGCTCCAATGTGTATAGACATCCCTAATCCATATAGAATCATGCTACTAATTTATTATCTAGGTATATGCTGCAGTCATGCTTTTTCATGTAAATGTTGGGGGAACTGAACCTTGAACAGCATACTGAAAGCCAGGAAGTTCTGGCTGTTGTGAATCCCGCTCCATAACTGATTTTGAAAGCACATTAAAAAGTCTTGTATGTGTGGGAGTCTTAACTGTGTTACCTCAGAATTGCAACCAATTTTGCTCACACACATTTTGAAAAAAAAAAACTGCTAACATACTCCCTCCATCACTTACAAAGACTGCCTGTCTTCTGTTGTTAATTTTCAATGTGGAATTTTCATATGATGCAGTATTGGAAAACTATAGTGTCTTCTTCATGTTCTCTGTGCATCACACATATGGAGTCTGCACCTGTGTGGAGCCTGTTGTGAGGAAGATTCTACAACTAAATTTGGGTGGGAACCCTCCCCTTCCTGTTACCTGCATCCATGGAAAGGGGCTCTTCGCTCAGGTCCTTTTCAATCACTTCCATGCCTAGATCTAGAAGCACTTCTTTCCTCAACTTGAGTATTTTTTCAGCATCTATTATCTTTTTCTCTCTAGTCCTTTCTCCTTGGCTTTCTGCAAAACTTCCTTTTTACCCTCCCCTTCCTTTTTTCCTTTTAACTCTCCATGAATTTCATTTTCTCCTTTTACTTGTAAAATCCATATATGTAATTTTCCTACACGCACACTCTCTAGTTTTTTTGTTTTTGTTTTTGTTTTGCATCTTTCTACCAGTCCTTTCTCTGCTGTCTGCCTTCCCCATCTATGGTCATGGCATCAAAGGCACCCTTTAGAAAGTGTGTCTTGTTGTGGAAGTAGACTCCCACACGCAGAGAGAAAAAGTAGTCCCTCTGCTTTTTCTGTTTAGGCAAGGGACAAATCATCAAACCACGGCCTTCACAAAACAGGCCTAAAAACATAAGACCAATCGACCAGTCTGCATTGCCTGTAGCTACTCAACCCAGGTAGTCTCCTGGAAGACCACATAGCCTGGAAAACAGCCAAGCTTACAAAAACAATATCTGCTGCCACCAAGCAGAAGCACAGCTGCCATCAGAACTCCTGTCACCCATCAAGACACAAAGGGTCTGGTTCATCTCAAGAGAGCATTCTGATCAAAAAGATGGAGTGGTCCCAGAAGGGAACCCCCTTCACTGAGGTCTTGGGCAATCCCAACAGAATGCTTGGATCTGACCCCACAGCAGCTTGAGCCTTCAGTACTTACCAAAGACCCAGTTCCAGCAGCATCCATATCAGAGGGGCAAATGCAGGACACCTCTTCCCATCCTCCGACCACCAATGGAAGCTTTAGTTTCAAGGTGATCCAACCAACCACCTTCAGAGGGTTCACATCCAGGCATCGTGACACTCAAACAGAGAACATCCACATCTACTGACCTCAGCAGAGATCCAGCAGCACAACAGCATGTACCAGGTCCTGGAAAGAGATATCCCATGCTTCTTTGAGCACCTGCAACCCAGGGGGTGGGGGTGGGGGTGGGGTGGGGGGCTCCTGTGCAAACGAATACTTAGCAGCAGAATTTTCCTGACAACAGGCAGAGCTCATGTGTGTGATGCACATGTGACCATTCAAGGAACGTTAACTGCTAGTAAGCAATCTGACTATGCTTGGCAAGTCTTCAGAGTGAATATCAGAAGTTTTATGTTTGAAACTATTTTATATTAATAGTTTTAAATTTCAACAGTATAGTGTTTAGAAAGCATTGCAGCAACATGAAAAGTGATGTAAAAAACCAATTGCAATGATTCATGTGGCAAAAGATTGCAGTGGTATTACTGAATGCCAAAAAACATTTCAGCTTCCAACTTTTATGTTCAAAAATCCAAAGGCAATTTGGTTTCACCAAGCAATCCATATGAAGAGGTTCAGTTTCTCATATGAAGAGCAATCCATATGAAGAGATTCAGTTTCCCAACATTTGGTTAGTGACTTACTAGTTCATTGTAAATTGGAAAAGCAATATAGAGCAGACTGACTGTGTGTACTAACTTTCTCTATAGAATTTCAAGTATGGTTTTAAACATTAGGGTTAATAAAATCATGAAAAGTACATCAAATTAGTTGTCCTTAGTTGTTTTTAGAAATAAATATTTTCATGCTAAATGCATTTCTTTAGTCTTAATCACAAAGTGTATTACACTTCTAACATTGACATTCTACTAGTGATAGAAAGGCCTGAAACATCATTTGGTGATTGTTGTTTCCTTTAACATGACTAGTTGGTGAATCAGCTGCTGGAAAGGCATCAAGGAGCCTTGCCCAGCATATCCCAGGTCCTGGTGGTATTGAAGGAGTCAAAGGAGCAGCATCTGGAGTAGTTTGTGAATTGGCACGAGCCAGGATAGCACTAGATGAAAGAGGACAGAAGTTGGGAGAACTGGAAGAACGAACAGCAGCCATGTTAGCCAGTGCTGATTCTTTCTCAAAGCATGCGCATGAGGTACGTCATTCTGAATCACAGGTGGGCAAATGTGGCCCAAGTATCACATGTGGACTTCAGTCTAATTTCACATGTCCCCTGGAAGTAATTGGCTTGGACCCTGGCAAAACTGATCTGTCCTTTTTCCAGAGAGGGAAAAAGGAGGTGATCCTGCCCCTTTTGGGTCTGCCCTGCCTCTCCTCTTCACTCAGCCCCATGTACTACTGGCATAGTAGTACTACTAGTAGTACTCCTCTTCACTCAGCCCCATGTACTACTGAATCAGAACTTCTGATTCCATATAGAAAGAGATGTGAATATTCTGGGAATGGTGTGACCATTTCCATCATTTGACGAGGGTTGAGCATCTTTACTTTTCTCACCTAATTGTCATCCTTATTGGCAGACAATTCCTAATTAAATTTTATATTGTGACAGGCAGATAGAAAGAAGACATGTTTATGCACACTTTTTAGCCACTTGCTCTTGTATCTATTTTATTTATTTACAACATTTATGTACCACTGCACATTCTGAAGTAGTAACATTCTTTTCGAAACATACTTCGCTATTGTGAGCCGCCCCGAGGCTTTGGCGAATGGGGCGGCATAGAAATTTTCTAAATAAATAAATATTACTAGAACTAGTTCTTCTGCTCTTATACAATCACCTGTGTTGTGTATATTGTCAGAAGCATGATTGCCCTGTGCTTTCTGTTTTCTTTTTAGATGATGTTAAAATGCAAAGATAAGAAATGGTACCAGTTCTGACGACACATTTTCAGATACATCTATATAAATTTACCTTGAAGAAAAATCTCCTTTTCATTAACTTCTGCAGGACCAGTGGAACTGGAAGGGTGTCAGCCAGTGGATACTGATGTTTCCTAGCACAAATTACACACTGTTTTACCTCAGTCATACAGCTTTAACTGAGGATCATTATAAATGAAACTGACACCCACAGCGTATGTATGTGTGTCTTACCAGTGGGCTAACTGGGAGATTGGGAACGGAATCCATAGCAGAGAGAACACATGGACAAAAAGGAGAATTTGGTATCAGATGAGCAGGGGCAATGCAGGAACTTTCCTGTGTTAATTTCATATGCCAAAAGTTTTGTGCTATTGTTGTTGCTGCCAGTGTTTCACCCTCCCATGGGAGGCTGCAATAAATCAGGGGTCCGAGATCTAGAGTAAAGTTGTTCATTTTACAGGACTACTAGTAGCTGATCTACACCTTCCCTCCTTAGAGCACGTCATAATAGCTGTTACTGAAAATGACTTCTGCTACCACTTCTCTGATCTGACAGACTGGACGTTTGTGAACTCCATCCTGAATCTATACATAGTTAACATGCACATAGTCTCTTCTTGGACCCCTGATCTAGTATTCTTGTATTTGCATCATCATACTGTGGCTGTGATCAGTCTTCATGATAAACCATGGCTTATCATGACTGGAATGAACTGCAGCAAGCCTCGAGTTTATATGCTCTCCAATCCACTCTTCCCTGAATGTGAGAAGAGCAGATGTTTTTGCTTTATTTAGTTTTTATTAACTGTCGTTTGTCATTTTGACTGAACCCAGTAAAAGTCAGATAACTTCAAGCAAATTATGATATACTTTAACCCAGCTTGAAGTGGGTTATTTCAGCAAACCATGATTAAGATTAAGCACAGTTTAGGTTTCACATACAACGCTAAGCTGCATTTAATCAAAACCTAAAATTTCCAATCTTCCCATACTCATACTGGGAGAAAGAGAGAGAGAGAGAGATTGAGAGAGAGAGAGATTGAGAGAGAGAGAGAGAGAGAGAGAGAGAGAGAGAGAGAGGGAGAGAGAGAGAGAGAGAGAGATTGAGAGCGTGTATTCCTGAGGCTTGCTATAGCTCATTCCTATTACAATGAACTTGGTTTGTCATGCCATCTGATCACGGCCAATGTCTAGTGCAAAACAAGAGGATAAGTTACTTTTGCATTGTAAAAAAAATATAGAAGTGATTGAATTGCACATCATGCTGGAAGTTTTCATTTGTGCTATGGCTGTGTAGTGTGAAAAGTAAAAATGTCTATTATAATGAGAAAAAAAACACATTTGTCATCTTTCAGCCAACTATATATTTTTATTTTCCTGCAAATACAGTTGAGTCAATTTATAAAATATTTTTAAATGGTTATGGGTTTACTTCATGCTGTACATCTTATTTTGTGTGTTTAACAGAATGTATTTGTGCAAGCACTTAAATATCTCTCAGATACGTAGCTAGTTTACATGCCCAATCAGAACCTAATTACCAGAGGAAATCATCTTGATTTCTGAACTCTGAGATAGAACTTGGTGGATATAGTAGCACGGATTTTGTTATCAATTGCATTAAATTAGTGGTAGAAACAATTCAGATGCAAAACCTATCAAAATCTTTTGTACATTTACTTGGAAGCAAGTAAATGTACAAAAGTAGATTTGAATGGAATTTTCTTCCATGTAAGTGTTCTTAAATTACAGAACAAAGCTAAAGTCAGAGTGGAACCTTTCCAAACAAAGCACTAAAAACAAACTTTAACCTCAATATTTTACCACATTTGCAACTAGTAGATTCCTAGATAGATTTGTAAAAGAAGATTTAAGATGTGCCAAACAGAATCAGTATATTTTTATCTAATAAAGGCTGCATCAAAGCCATAATAAGAGAAAAGGATTTATTTAAAAATATTTAGGAAAATTCATAATTAAGAGATCTTTGGAAGCTTGAAATGATTACTAATTTGTGATCAACTGCAGAGAGTCTTAACTAGTTTAGGCTATATTTGTAAGCAAGTGCCAGCATGTGGCTGGTCATTGGTTTGAGTTTTATTTTCCTAAACTTGACTGTGATTGCTTGTGTTGAATGAGTTGTTTGACTTGAATGCTTAAACTGCAGTCTGTGTTCATGACAAAAAACAAAAAACCAAAATACCCTGGTGTAGATTCAGCACCGCTGTACAACATTTCTTAGGTTTTTACCCCCTCTTGAATTAGATTATTTGGATGAGCATTCCCCTGTGAACTTTTACAATCTGGGTTGAAAAAGTTACTGGCTGGCCTTGCACAGTGTGTTATTTTACCTTAATGAAACTTGCTTCTAAATAAATGTGATACATACTTGAATTTTAAAGCAACTAAGCTACCAGCGGCCTAGTTGCAACCAAAAATCACTTCCTGAATGGAGTGTAAAGAGATTTCTACAAGCTGCAGTTATGTTTGAATCTGCTTTCCACTAGGGGCTGTTAGTGTACCAGCTTGACACTTTCCAGTAATGCAGCTTTAGATAGGGTGCCATGAAAACTCATTGACTATCTCAAAAGCAGTTTCGTATATTCCCACAACCATATGATGCCTTGAGCCTTCCGAAGCATTTTGGGTGGTAGCAAAACTGCTGCAGTAACCATTTATGTCAGGCCTAAAGCAACTTGTTTAGTAGCACCTGTATTGTTCAAAAAGAGGCTTTTTGATTTCTGTTGTTTTACATTCTGCTGCCTGAAAATATACACATTTTTGTGTTAATTTACCTGAGTTGTATTTAGCTATATATGAATAGACAAAATGAGATCCATAAGCCAAATAATAAAAAGATGGTAAGTTAACTGGACATTAATGTACTAACTGTAATAATTGTACGTTGCAATTCTCTGTACATTGGCAATTTCATTTTTCCAATAGTTTCCCTTTTGTGGTCAAATGGCACAACTCAAACAAAGTTAAATTCTGTTAATTCCATGTGGAAATATTTAAGCACATGCTGAAAGAATAACCTTGATTTATATCTTTGTTTGGATTGTGTCCATGTATTTTGTACTTTTAGTCAGAAGCACAAAATTCAGTAAATTAAACTTTTATTGATCTTTAAATAAATCCCTATAAACTTTCACTGTTAGAAATTCCAGAAGTACACTTCTTGTGAATTTACAACATCATTTGGAGAGAAAAGAGCATTGATATAAGGATGCTTAGTTTTCAGAGGAACGAGTATTGGACAGACAACAACAAATGAAGAATGAGGGAGTCCATGCTGTCACAGGATGTGTCAGCAAGCATTTGGAATATGTGCATTCTCATATTTTATACCATGAATAAAATAGTTTGACTAGGATACATTTACAAAAACTGAACTTGGGCAAATAAATGCCATTTGTCCACTTTTATCAATTAACATTTCAACAATATTTGTCAATCGCACTGAAAATGCAGTTGCACATGTATTTTGTAATGTTTGGGAGAATAATGATTATCCTCTTGATTGGCACTTCAGTTTGTGTTGACCAAATGAGCAGAATAAGGCTGTGTACAAATGATACAAATACTTGGAGTTGGTTCTGTAAGTTGTTGCTGGCCATGGGATCCATGGATGCATATTCATTTTTGGAGGTGTCCTTGATACCTGGATAAATTGGTTTGAGTGTTTTTCCTAGTGCTATGTTGAATCTTCTCAGGGCTTGGATTTTGAATAGGAAAACTTAGGAGTGTGGGGAAGTTTCAGGACAACCCTAACCCCCACCCACCCCAGTCTTTTCATACTAGTTTACTGCTGTTCACAGCACATTTAAGTGACAAAATATTGGTAGCCATTTTTATTTTCCTAGGAGGGGCAATGAGAGGAGCTGCCCCATACATTTGTTTGATTGTTTTGTCTCTGTAGACAATCTTGCTATTTCTAAGAAGACCATTTTAAATGTCCCTGAAGACTCAGTTAATGGGGGCTGCAAACACCTCATAAATGACCAGGAAAAAAACTGGAGTGTGTAGCTGCTAAGTAAAGCTGAAGCTGTAGTAGATGATGTGTAAGTTGCAGGAGAAATAGTGTGGGGATCACTGTATATTTCATAAGGTTTTTTTAACTTCTCATCTTAAAAGAAATGGCACAATAGGAAGCATGTTTTGTGGAGGAGAAAACATTCACAAAACATTACCTCTATTTCAATTCATTTTTTACTCTGGCACTTGAAGCTGTATCCCAGGAAAACTTAAATAAAATAAGGCACCAGTATCATTACCAGCATGGCTGCAATGGGTATGATATTCATCTTGGAAAATTATTGTGGAAAACATTGGTTAGTGATAGTAATGTCTAGATTGTCTTTGGATGTATTAAACATTTTTAAAACATCCACATTAAGTAATCATATAATGTTTTTAAATGCAAAGAAAGAGGAATGTGGTTTTCTGTGGGAGTGAAATTAGTAGTTCATAGTTGCTTGAGAAAGGGACTAGAAGAAGCAGCTGAAATGCAGAATTACATACTCTTTGACAAGGTTCCTTCTTCAATCACATTTGTACAGTCATCACTGCTGATACTTGGTCAAGGTTTTTTCCATGCTAGCAGGGTAAATTTGCTGCCATTGCTCCAGAGAATTAAGCATCTATAAACAGCCTAGGTGATTTTTTAATACTTCTAAAATGCAAATAAACTGCTGCTATTCATCTTTCACGTGATGTTACCATGCTTAATTATAATAAATAAAGAAATACATCTTCAGTTTAGGAAACTGCCAAATTTTAACTTCTGAATGTAAATATTTCATGTATTTAAAGCAAGTCTGAAAGTGTGACACCACTAGAGTTCATTATAATACATTAGGTATAAACTTATAAAATTTGCAACTACAGTCTTTGTATAGTTTCATTGCACATTTTTTGCTTCAGGTGACAATACATATTAGAAAGCTATAGCCAAAGGTGATTTCTGATGCAGTGACTTTTCCTTTTTGCTTTCTATTAGCACTGATTTAATCTGAACTATAAACTTGAATTTCTTTTCCCTGCACTTTAAGTAACACAGGCTTGAGTAGTTCATCCTTTTACATATATCTGAGTTCACTTATTTGTATATAATATTATTGGGAAAGTTCCTTTCAACACACTGCCTATCTGTATAGAAAGAACTTATTAGCATCTTAATTTTAAAATTAACTGAAACACTTTCAGATTTGTTTAATGATCACCCAAAACTACAATTTCAGTAAGATGTGCTTTGGTTCTATAGAAATAAGTGAGACTTAAGCACAGGTAATCATGGCAGTGATAACTTATTAATACATAGTGCTAAAAGAATATAGTTTGTTAATATAAATTATGCTTATGTATACTATATCTTTTACTTTTAAATGAAACTTGTGTTACATTTGTCAAAGAACTTGATGTACATATAATACATACAGAAATTGAGTTGATACTAAAATAAATAAAACCTCATACCACAATAGTAACAAATTAACACATCTTGAATTACTAGGAATATTCTGCAGCAGGGTATCTTCAAAAGATGCAGGGGCCATTTTTGTCCAACCCTGTATGGGCTACACCCAGTTGCTACCAGTCCACGGAATTCCACATAGTGGTGCTGATAAAGGCTGATCTTACGCTTATTTTTGTCAGCAGAATGCTTGAAAACAATCTAAATTCCAGCTATTCTGTAGCTGTTTGCTGCCAGTTTCTGACAGCAAAACAATTCATTTTGGCTGCTGCAAATTTCAGTCAAGGGTGGGTCACATGTGGCCTATGGGCTATGTGGTATCTGCTTCTCCTCTACAATAACTAGCCTAAAAAACCTCATGTATTAATCTGAACTACATGCTCCAAGGGGAGAATAATCTTTATACATATACTCCATTTAAATTGTAAAACTGTTTGGAATAGCTGCAGCTGTGGATGGACATTTATCATAACTTGTTAAGTCTAGATTTTCAGGTATTTTCTTCAGCCTTTTAAAATAAATTTCCAAAAATCAAAAGTAAATTCCATGTATTTTGTCAACTGCAGATTTCATTTTGTATT